TTAAATATAAAATAGATAGATTAGATATGTTGTTTAAATAGAAAATAGATAGATTAGATATTTTGTATGTATTGAAAAATAGAAAGATCGCTCCAGATAGATAGATAGATAGATGCTAGGATAAATAGACGCAGATAGTAGGTTGAAGAGAAGATGACCACGCCCTCCTCTGCACCCCCNCTCCAAGGACGTATTGAACAATATAAGCATAAACTAAAAATAATAGCTCAACACACTGCAAAGGAGGGGCTTGTGGGGGGGGATGTTGAATTTATTAAAAAAAGTTCAGTGGGCGGTATTAGTGTCAGTATCCTAGGCTGCTAACTGCTCACTGTAATCCTAAGGTTGCAAACTCTCACGCCATAAATATATGATAACTTATCAATTACTTCTTAAATACTAAAGCTAAAAGCAGGTGTTTTAAAGTTCTAAAATATACAATTAGGTAAAAAAAAATAGTTTAATTAAAAAGTAGTGCGGTAAAATCAAAGGCTAAGGCTTTGCAACACTGCAAAGTAGACCCAGTCTTAAAAATTCAAAGCAGCCTGGATCTACGTGGGCTGCATAAAGCATTACAAGGTGTTTTTGAAACTAGGCTATTAGGGGAATTAGGGCGGTTCGCGCCCTCTGTTGCTTTCCACGCTACCATATTTTCTTCTTTATGTAAAAACAAAACTAAAATACTTTTTTTATTAATAGATATATCAATATATGAAGACTAATTTAATATAAAAACATTTAAACTGTGACCTGTGAGGTCTGTGAGATCCCACAAAAAATTACGTTTATTGGACACAACAAAAAGACAAACAGACAAACAGACAAGTTAAATTTAGATTATAAATCTTGAAGATTAATTGTAAGAATAAAAAAGAGACTGAAGATTGGAAAAAGCTTAAAGGGACAGACCGGCTATGTAAGGTAGTTGAATTGAGTATGCAGTGTTGTGGAAAGCTTCTTTAGGATTCATTTGAGACATATAGAACTTTTTAAATATTTGTAAATCCTGAGTTTGAGCGCAAACTAATTAGTTTACTGTAGATTTTTTTTACATTTTATGTCGTCGTTATTTAATAATTTAAAAAAATAATTCTAAAAACGTATCCACCCCCAAAGTAGAGGTTTACTAAAGAGGTAGAGGTGCGTGTATATGAATTCCATAATTGAATTAACTAAATTTCAAATTTGTAGGTTTTCAATTTATTAGCAAAAAGTTATGTCCCAAATATTAAGTTTTTTTTTTAAAAATTTTGTCATATATTATAAATTAAACAATACTGTAAATTCATTTTAATACACACCTAGTCCTAAAGTTGAGAGCAATGTTGTTGCATTTTTCTTCAAACTTGTTTTTTCCCCTGACTTATATCTCCTTCTTTAAAATGGTTTGAGCAAATGCAACTTGAAGGATATACTTTGCAGTCTCCCAACCTTAAATGGTCTAGCCGTGCACAATTTTTTGGTATTTAAAAAAAACTCACATTTTACAAGAAGAATTGTTTTTGCACAATTTCACGATTCAATATTTAGTCATACTTGTATTAGAATAAACAAACAGCTGAACTTGAATGTACTGCAGTATACAATCCTGTTTTCACGATTCAATATTTAGTCATACTTGTATTAGAATAAACAAACAACTGAACTTGAATGTACTGCAGTATACAATCCTGTGTTCACGATGCAATATTTAGTCATACTTTTATTAAAATAAACAAACAACTGAACTTGAATGTACTGCACAGTATACACTCCTGTGTTTACAATCCATACTTGTATTAAAATAAACAAACAACTGAACTTGAATGTACTGCAGTATACAATCCTGTGTTCACGATTCAATATTTAGTCATACTTTTATTAGAATAAACAAACAACTGAACTTGAATGTACTGCAGTATACAATCCTGTTTTTACAATGCAATATTTAGTCATACTTTTACTAAAATAAACAAACAACTGAACTTGAATGTACTGCAGTATACACTCCTGTGTTTACAATCCATACCTGTATTAAAATAACAAACAACTGAACTTGAATGTACTGCAGTATACAATCCTGTGTTTACAATTCATATTTAGTGTCTATCTAAATATCAATACTAATATTCAAATATCTACATAAAACCACCCCTTAGAAATACGACCACTCTATATACAAGTGTACAGCGTTAGATACGTAAACATATTGTGATGTATACAACCAACCACTCTATTAATTAATTAATAGGGAGGTGGGTTGTGTACATCTGAGCTAAGCTTTACCTCTTCGTTTTATTACTCTATATTTGTAACCATTTACTTTAAGGGAGTGTTCGCAACAAATAAAAGGGAGTTTAGGTTGACGTCGAAATGAATTCGATATCGATCGCTAATAAATTTACTTCTATCTGTTGCGTGTTAAAGGAGAAAATTATTAAGAACGACTCATACCGAAGAGCGCAGAATGCATACAAATTCAGTTACTTATTCCGCTCAGAGCTGAAAACCTTAGAATGGGATATCCTTAATCCCAATCGTTTAATTAATCTGGAGATTAATATTAAGAGGAGAACAAGCATTATTTAATCTGGAAATCAGGAAAAAGAGGAGATCAAGCATTGATCTCGATATCCACCATTCTAAAGTTTTCAGATCAGATCGTAAATAATTCAATATAATTTAAAACCACTCATTCATACATTACAACCTACAATTGTCGATGCAATTCGATGCATATTCGTATAAAGTTGATATTTCATAAGATCTTTTTTAAATTAATATGAAAATGTCGTCTTCATTATCAAAAATTTTCAAAAGTAAATCTCGGATCATAAAAAAAATAAAAATAAACATTATGAAATATCAACTATATACGAATACATCGAATTGAATTTGAAACTTGTTGGGTATTATATCTGAATGAGTAGTTTTAAATAAAACTGAATTATTTACGATCTGAGTGGAAAAATGCAACTACGTGAATTTGTATGGACGCTACGCTCTGAGGTGTTAGACGTTTTAAAACATTTTCTCCGCAACATATAGAAGTAAAATTGATATCAACCTCTACCCCCTTTCATTTTTCGCGAACACTCCCTTTAAAATAAAAAATTGTTATTTAAATATCTGATTTCTCCGAAAATTTTTGAGATAAAAATTGAAACTTATTAGACGTATCGGTATTTCTTTTATGCTTAGTGACATCCAAAATCAAAACTGATGTTTTCTCTTAATTCTTATGTTAGTCAGACAATCAGAAAGTATAAAATTCAAGGTTGTTATCCATTTTCAATCATGTTTAGTAGTATGCTATGAATTACAAAAACACGTGATAATCATTTAACTTTAATACAGACTCAAAACAGAAGAAGTATTATAATTACAAGTAAGCAGTGTAATGATAAATGTCGTCTTTCAAACTTTTTATTACAAATTCTCGACGTGGATTTGGTAAATACACTCTAAATTAAAAAGTCGTAATTAAGCGATAAAAAGTCGCCTAATCGGGTGAAAAAGTTGGATGGCACCCGATCAGGTGACAAAAAATCGCTAAACATATATCGCTTATTTAAAAAAATCGCTTTGTTTCAATTAAGAAAACGCTTATATTTAAGAAGAAGTTGGTAACTGCCAAATAAGTGACACAAAAACTCTTATTTTTAACAAAATCGCTTATTAAAAAAATCGTTTCAATTCAACCAAAAGATCTCTTATATTTAAAAAAAGCTTTAACAAAAAAGTCGCTTATGTTAAACTAAAAAAATTAAACAAAATGTTTATAATATAGTCAATATTTTCTGATGAAAAGAAGAATAAAGAAAAATGACAAATATTCCAATGTTTCTAGTTACAAAGAATGAGTCTGTAAAGACGACTTGAAACTCTTGAATTTTAACGATTCAAAGTTTAAATCAAGCCTTCTGCATTGATTGTGACCTTGAAATGTCTCATTTGATGATTTTGCAAAGAAAAAAAAAAGTTTTTATTTGCAGAGAATCGTGAATATAAGCAAGGGTACAAGGCAAGGAAAGTTAATTGCGTTGGTGAATACTCTGCGTACATATTGAAACCAGTTCTCTCTGGGCGGAATTATAAACAAGAATAGATGCATCAGTGTTAGCTTAGTATCCGAGGAGGTTAAAAGCATTAAATTTTGATAATTTTGAAAATTCACATAATAGTTTCATATGACCAGAATATTTCATAGATTATTTTTGTAAAAATGGATTCCATGTCAGGCTGTGACATCCGTTTTGTGTTTACTTTTCCGCCCAAAGACAGTACAAAAAATGCGTACACCTCTGAAATAACTCTCCTCGCATTAGTAACTTGAATCTAAGGAAAGAGACAGCATTAATTTCATACAATCGTGTCTGAAGTCTCATCCTTTGCGGGTAACCCTGTCGTATATTCAGAAAATACAAGTTCATATTTATTGTAATTTTACTTTATAGAATTCTATCAAATAGGTTGTCAAGTACAATAGATGGCAACAGAAAAATCGACCAACTGCGCACAACGTCCTATGTGTCAAATGAAAAAAGAAAGACGACATGTCCTCTAATTAGTTGGTATTATTTCCAAGATTCGGTGGAGGTAAATGTCGTCTTTGAAGGAATACGTAAAAAATATTTACAACTCAAAATCAGATAGAGTATTTTTACTTCTTTTGGTGGCTTAATTTTTTCACTGTATATCTATGTAAACTAAATAGTCTGAGGGAGGGGGGGGGGGCGTCCAGGCCACAGCCCTTTAATTAGCATTAAAGTAAATATATCTAGGGTTATTAAAGGTTTACTGTTCAATTTCTAAAGCCAGTCAATTTTTTTTAAAAATTTAGACTTATAACTTTTTGAAACACTCATACTTTATACGAATTTTACAAAAATTCATTTGGATTACCTTGTTTTAAAAGTGACAAAGTTTTGGTGGGTTAAACAATGACTGAAGTATACACATTATATCATCATACACAACAAAAACAACAACAAAAAAAAACAATAATAAAAATACAAAAATATTTTTAACTATTTATTAAAATTGTTTTAAATTTCGTATCATGTGATGACCTTGTTTGTTTACTAAAACATTTAGATGCCTTATTCTTTGGAATTTTACAAAAAGGTTGATAATGGATATCTTGGTTCTTTTACAGTTATTGATGGGATTGCAGAGGATAAGAGAAATTTCCTTGCAGGTGAGATTTCTGGAAGTTTTGAAAAAACGACGACCAAAAAGGAACGTGTTTATAAGTCGTCTTAAAAGACTCATCCTTTGTGGGTTTATCAGTTTCTCTTCGTGAACAAAAAAATTGCGTTTCGTTTTTATTTCAAAAGGGAAAGTTTTTGGTCATTTTCATTTGATTTGACTTTTTCACGTAATAATGGATTTGCTTGTTTATTCTGCAGGTTCGCATTCAAGTCTTGGAAGAACTTCTTCTATATCCTGACAATCAAGGCTGGTTATGATCTAAACAAAAATTTAAATAAATTATTTAAAATTTTAAGACATTATTAACATAATTTCAAGTGATACGCCATCTTATGAGCACCATCAACAATTAACATCGGTACCCATTAATTATAAACTAGGTATCAATGATTGATATTCATCAAAACAGACCCCGACTATAAAATAATTTAGGAAATAAATCGACGATGTCTTCGGCATTGTTCAAAGAGTATAAACTTTTTAAAATAAATGGTCTTTTATAATTTAGCTGACACGATCAATTGTGATTTTAACAACAAAACGAGTTAATTTTTAAAAACTAATTTAAAAACTTAAAATTATCAAAATTATCGAAAAAGTTGTTTTTAAAATAATGCAAAAACATATTAAATGTGAATATTTTATGTTTTAAGGTAAAATTTCCCAAAATTTAGAAAAATCGGAATTTGGCGGGAAAATTGCTGATTAATTAAAAGCTATAAATATTACCTTGCAGTCCTTGACTCTGACAACAGACTCCTTGACAACAGGGTTCTTGAAGCAGTGCTCCTCCACCTGGTCCTCACACTTCTCATCCACCACAGGACCAAGATAGGGTCCAGGGACTCCTAGGGGGACAAACGGAGCGTCCATGGGTCCAGGTCCGACGGGTCCGCCAAGGAACGGATCGGCGAAGAATTGAGCAGATCTTCGAACTTTCAAGGCCGCCTCCTCTTCTTGGGAAACCTAATCATCAATCAATTAATCAACTTTTCCGTTTATTAAAGTTATTTATTTATTAAAGTTATTTAAAGCGACTTTTCAATTACTTGTCAAGGTCGTTAGATCATTAGTCAGTCAAGTGGAATTTATTTAACAGTCCCTTTAAATTCAAAAACTTGAGGCTGATCTTCTAAATCAGAAAGGAAAAATGTATTCACCTCAATTACAATCTCAGATTCATCAACTCCAGATCCTTCTCCCTCAACCACTACTCCGGAGCTTTCCTCTGATTCATCTCCGGATCCGTCCTGCTCCGGTAGAACCAGAGTTCGGATTACTGGAGTACAGAGCGTAGTTGTGATATTTGTACATTTGTCCTCGTATTCAATATTCTGGGTCGGCATATCCACATCCTCACATACATTCTCCGCTCTACCAGATACAGGGTGTCACAATAAATATGGATATAGATATGAGATACAGGGTGTCACAATAAATATGGATATATATATGAGATACAGGGTGTCACAATAAATATGGATATAGATATGAGATACAGGGTGTCATAACAAATATGGATATTAATCTGAGATACAGGGTGTCACAATAAATATGGATATAGATCTGAGATACAGGGTGTCACAATAAATATGGATATAGATATGAGATACAGGGTGTCACAATAAATATGGATATAGATATGAGATACAGGGTGTCACAAAAAATATGGATATAGATATGAGATACAGGGTGTCACAATAAAAATGGATATAGATATGAGATACAAGGTGTCACAATAAATATGGATATAGATATGAGATACAAGGTGTCACAATAAATATGGATGTAGATATGAGATACAGGGTGTCAGAGTAAATATGGATATAGATATGAGATACAAGGTGTCACAATAAATATGAATATAGATATGAGATACAAGGTGTCACAATAAATATAAAAATGAATTGATGACATTTGTAACAGCTAAAAACTAGTTATTTTTTGTAAACAAACAACATTTGATAAACAGTAATTCATCCTGCCTAGGCTATCTACACCTTATGTACACTCTTGTTTACAATAAACTAGATCCTAAGCTGTCCTATTACGTCAATATGTCTTAATATGTAAACAAATCCTTTTCCCTAGCTCTCCTTTCTTTTACTCTTCTTGGAATAATAATAAATTTTCTCCTTCTGGTATTTTTTCAAATTTGTTCAAAAAATACCTTGGTATGCATTCTTGTCTGGTGATAGTATCGTTAACTACGGTACAGTTGGGGGCATTGTATCGTACAGGGGCACCAAACCCTAGAGGAGGGGCACCAAATACCAGAGGCACCTGGGCCTCACGCACCATTCTTAACGCAGTAGGTGATGGTAAAGCCTATAAAAACATGGTTACTGCATCATCATCAGTATTTTATGCAATTCTATAAATAGATTTGACTAATTTTTTTAGGTCCTCACATAGCCTCAAGGATAATTTGCTAACAATGCGGTATATAAAGTTTGAAATCTCGATGGTTTACTCCATCAGGTTGCAGAGATATAGGGATTAGAAAATTTGAGTTTGTGGCAAAGACTTAAATCCTTTAAAAAATCTACCGAAGAAAACGAAAGATTTGCCAGATTTTGTATTGTTTTTGTTTTATAATGTATGAAGAAGACGATTTGCAGGCAAAAGTACAAAAAAAGACGCGAAGCGTTCTGAAAATTTAATTTAAAAAAAAGAGAAAAATGATTTTCTTACCATGAGGCTGCAGGGCAGAAGGCAAGACACAACAAGAAACTAGAAATAATAAAAATAGTTTACAAGAATATTCTAAACCTTATTCTTTGTTTTTTAAACATCAATGCTTTGTTCTAATTGTCATTAAAGGTTTCTTTGTCCCCTCCCCCACCTCCCCCTGGCCCCGGTTATTACCATGAACATGGTGGATTGGTGAGTTCAACTCCCGACAGGAAACTGGAGATCTCAACGCTGCGCTGGAAACCTGACAAACTGCCTCCTCAAATCTAGGCAATTATTATCCCACCGCAGGCAGTTGAGAAAGCAGTATTCAGGCAGAGGGAAAGTCGGCCTTCAATAAAGTTTACTTAAATGACAACTAAGGAACTTCATTTTTGTTACTTTTGTTAAGCTGCTAAGATAAATGTGGTGATCTAAAGTAAAATTTGACAATTGCCAATGCCATGGATAATTTCATCGATTTTACAGATTATACTGATTTCACTGATTTTACTGATTTTACTGATTTTACTCACACTGCTAGATTTGTGAAGTGTCTCAGTTTTCGATGTAATAGATAAGTAACTCGAATAACTCAAATTGATTTTTTACATAGTTCAATTTACATACTGTATTATATAAACGGACCAATCAGTGCAATGTTTCAAATGTCGTTTCATATTATTTTTTAAAATAAATTTTTATAAATTGTTGTGAAGATAAAATATTCAAGCGCCGAATATTTTTAAGCTTGCGCGCACTAAATTTCAACAGTGCGTGAAATATTGGCGCACGCAGCCCTGTTCTGTCTCGTCCAAAACGTGCATGCATTTTTTTCTACCTTTTCAACTTATAATTTTTTTTTACCCGTTTTTATGAGTCAATGCGTTGATTGTGGGTGTGGTCTTACTTGAAGTTATGTAAGTTAAGAGAAAATCAGTCATTTATAAAATCAAAATGAGAATATTTTTTCCTCATTTTCCTGGTTCTAATTACTTTTCTTAGAACTCTAAACAGTCTTGAAGAATTATTGAATATTTAAAGTTAAATTAGTTGTACAAAGGAACTAAATATTAGTTGTACAAAGGAACTAAATATTGCCTCAAACTCAAATTGTCTAATACTTCTATATTTTTACAACCTTTGATATTTCAAATTCTGCAAGATCAAACAGTCAAATTTGTTTGAAATATCAAAGGAATTTACACAATTAGAAACAGGGGCGGATATAAGGATTCTGTAGGGGACAAACGGAGCGTCCATGGGTCCAGGTCCGACGGGTCCGCCAAGGAACGGATCGGCGAAGAATTGAGCAGATCTTCGAANAATGTTATTGTTAACGATAAATTTAGAATTAGAAATTCGTAAGTAACTAGTAATTTCTTTTTGTTCTTAAATTGCGAATGTTCCTATTATTGTTCCTGTTCCTGATACTGTGTCCGACCCACCTTAAATCCCTGTCCTAATCCAATATTTTTGTTCCTAATTCCTGAACAATCTTTTATTGTTCCTAAATCCCTTTCCAAATCCATTATTCTTGTTCCTAATTCCTGAACAATCTTTTAATTGTTCCTAAATCCCTGTCCCAATCATTTATTTTTGTTCCTAATTCCTGAACAATCTTTTAATTGTTCCTAAATTCCTGTTCTAATCCGTTAATTTTGTTCCTAAAAGTCAAAAATCTATTTTTTTAGTCTTTAGTCATTAATTTTTAATTTGGCGCGCGAAGCGCGCCGGAATTTACTTGAGTGCAGACTAAGCAATAGGGAATGTATTTTCTTTTTGAAGTGAAGGGGTCAAGGCAACTGTAACTTGAAGAGGCAGCAAGTGTAGTAACCCCTGCTATTCAGGGCCTGAATATATGTTCGGGGGTATTTACCCCCAGGATTCTAGGGGGGGTAAATAACCCCAATAACCCCCCTTATATCCGCCACTGATTAGAAAATTAGAGTTTGTTCAGCTTATTCAGAAAATTAATTAAGAGACAGATTTAAAATAATTATATAGACGATTTTTTTGTGAAATTTTGTCTAAAATTTGCGTACTTGTGATTCGTCAAGTGTTGACAATTCTTTATAAGTAAAATTAGTATTTTTCTCTTTCAGTCCATTCAGAGCTAAGTATAGGGGTAGGGGGGCTTTTGGGGCTCAGCCCGTCCTCGGATCAGAAAAATCTACGGTTTGTAAGGGATTTTTAGGGTCAAATGGGTGTTGAGTGTTGACCCCTAATGGAAAAAATTTAAGCTTACCTGTACGAATTCCTGCATACGCCCCTGCATTATATGTATTGTTTACATTACTAAAAGTGAAAAGAAGCTTTATATATTTTTTTCAGAAAATTACATGGAAAATATTTCAGAAATTACATAAATAATAACAATTATATACTATGGGACTGCTCATAACTTAGAACAGAATATGAGTGAAATAATAATTTGGCTAAACTTTTAGATTTTATTATTCAAATTAAAACATTAAGAGTGAATCTTAAACTTGTTTAAGAGTTGTTTAACATATCAACCATTAACAATATTTCTGGATATAAATCAGACTGAAAACGCGATATCATGCGAGCCTCCAGTTTTGAAGTGACATAATCGATTTACAACTTTTGTAAGATCATTTGTGGATAAAACGTTATAGTTTTCTAGCTAAAAATTTATTAATTTTTAATTTCAGATTTTCTAAAAATGTGGATATCATCAGAACTCAACATTTTCAATGAGAAGCAACGATATCTTCCTCATCATTGTTCAGTTAAAGGTTTAAAATGTACCGTTGTGAATCAGACCGGTAAGGAGGTCCACTGAATATTTCGTGTACAGTCCCTTAAAGCTCGAGTTTGGCACAAGTAATCAGTTAGAAAATATTAGTCTGATAAACTACAGTTCAAAATTACTTATTGTGTACTTCAGTTCTAAAAATAAATTAAATTATTAAATACAATCAGAGTTTAGCAACTAGTATTCAAAGATATCTTTACTATAATAAGAAATATCCATCATAACCTGGAAAATATAACAGATAAATCTACAAAAATACAGGGTTTTCCACAAAAGATGAGACGTACGGAATTTATACAATCGGTTTCCTCTCCTTATATTCATGATTCCTTATAAACAATAAACTTTTTCTTTTCTTGGTAAATCATCAAAGAGGCCATTTAAACATTTAAACATTTAAACATTTAAGCCATTTAAACATTTAAGCATTTAAACATTTAAACATTTAAACATTTAAGCCATTTAAACATTTAAACATTTAAACATTTAAACATTTAAACATTTAAGCCATTTAAACATTTAAACATTTAAACATTTAAGCCATTTAAACATTTAAACATTTAAACATTTAAGCATTTAAACATTTAAACATTTAAACATTTAAACATTTAAGCATTTAAACATTTAAACATTTAAACATTTAAACATTTAATCATTTAAATGTAAATGCATTCGATGTTTTTAACAATTGTTTTCCATGAAAGTATAAATTCTAATTATTTTTTTGTTAGTTTCTCAAAATTAAATGTCAAAGTCAATCAACCGAAATAAACAGCAGTCTTTCCCAGGAACCTGATTTAATAGAAGTCGTTGAACTACCCTCCACCGGTTCAACTACTTCTCAAGTGCTGACAGGATCAAATCCTGAATCACGGATTCAAAGTTTAAGTAAAAGATACAAAGTGTCCCATATCACATTGAATTATCTTCAAGCTTTAACGCCAAATACGCACATAATACTCGAATAACGTGGTATTTTCAACAAGAAAATTTTTAAATTAGCCTTTTACATTTTCTGAATTTTTAATTTTTTTTAAATTTTCTGATTAGTCTCTTAAATCTAAATTTAGAGCTATGAACGATACTATATGATGTGGGACACCCTGTACGTACAGGGTGTCCCACGAAACATGACAGTTGGTGAATAGTTTAGAATGTTCTCTTCCATAATTTGATAAGTTGTTTGATACTAAAGATACTAATAACATTTTTTATATGACAGTTATACTATAGTAGAATTAATGTCACAGTAAAATATAAATGAGTTAAACATTTTTTTAATTAAATAAACTGGAAAAAGTCTTTAATATCTAATACAGTATGTGGAAGAAGACATTTAAAACTATTCACCAACTGTTATGTTTCGTGGGACATCCTGCACGTGATTGAACCGCCTCTATGCGTAGTTTAACGACTTCTTGCAATTTATTAAATTAGGCCCCAGACATGGAATCAAACATTTCAGAAACAATAGAGATTTAAATTTAAAATTTTACAATCTGCAATTTTCATGAGCTAACGACAATAATGTAATGAGATTGGATTTCTTTAATCCATCATGATTATAAAAACAGGTTTTAAAATAATTTTGACCTATGATACAAACATGAATAATAAAAACAATAAAAGTAGATTAAAGATTTGGAAAAGGGGTTTAAGTCTGTAAAACCAGAAAGAATTGTTGCTATATATAAAACCTATTCATCTTTTCTCAAACATTATAATAACTACTCTGTTCATGAATAAATGATGTTGTTATAAGTCGTCTTCCGTTCTTTCGTTGGCTTTGTATTATTAACACTTGCGCGAGAACCTAAAAATAAATTTTACAATTAAAAATCTGAATTTGAGCAGCATAAAACTTAAACAATTTAAATGAATTTAGAAATTCAACTAAACCACAGTAAATACAATAAAACAGATCTCATGCATTTGTCAAAAACATGGGAATTCAGTGACGAATTGGATATCGTCTTTGTTATGAATTAGCATTGTAATACCTAATTTCAAAATATTATGTCTGCTAGAGTTTATTTTATGAAAGGACTGTAAAGATGTGTCTATAACGTCTTTGCAAGATGAACAGTGAAGACGAACAAGTTTACTCTGTTTGTATACTGCGTACAACCGTGTACAGTCATAATAAACAAACAAAATGTGAAAATAGCAGACGAAACTCTTACAGATTACAGCTTTCTCAGTAGGTATTACTATACTAAATCAAAGAATTATTTGAAAAGACGATATCGAATTCGTCACTGAATTCCCATGTTTATTGGGACAACCTGTATCTGAATATTTTTTTTGTCTTGAAAACAATACAGAATCAAGAAAATTATCAAGGATCAATCTTACAGCAACCATATTTTTAAATTTTTAATTGTTTCCTCCAAGATAAAAGCACATTTCCTATACATTTAACATTTATCATTGATTTGTTATGATTTTTATCCTTATTTAGTTTGAAGTGAAGAGTGATAGTAAGCTTTTATAAATAAAATCATAAACTCAGTGCTCCTTTTTTTGAAAGAGTATTTTGTTCTACCTTTCAACCTACAGGGTGTCCGACGAAGCATGACAGTTGGCGAATAGTTTTGAATGTCTTTTACCATATACTGTATTAGAGATTTTGTGCAGTTTATTTAGATAAAAAGTCTTTTACAAAAATATATTTTACTTTGAAATCAATTTTACTATAATACGACTGTCGTATACTATTTTTTTAATCTCTTTAGTATCAAAAAACTTAAAAATCATGGAAGAAGACATTTCAAACTATTCACCAACTGTCATTTTCGTGGGACACCCTGAATTTAGGAAGAGCGTACGCGGTACAGAGCTACCAATCTAGAAAGAGTATTAGGTGCTACTACCCATCTAGGAAGATGACAAGATGCTACCTACCTAGGAAGATGACAAGATGCTATCTATCTAGGAAGATGACAAGATGCTACCTACCTAGAAAGATGACAAGATGCTATCTATCTAGGAAGATTACTAGATGCTAACTATCTAGGAAGATTACTAAATGCTACCTATCTAGGAAGAGTATTAGGTGCTACTACCCATCTAGGAAGATGACAAGATGGTACCTATCTAGGAAGATTAAGGAGCTACCTATCTAGGAAGAGTAAGGTACTACCTATCTAGGAAGAGTTATGTGCTACCTATCTAGAAAACTAAGGTGCTACATATCTAGGAAGAGTAAGGTACTACCTCTCTAGGAAGAGTAAGGTGTTACCTATCTAGGAAGAGTAAGGTGCTGCCTATCTAGGAAGAGTAATTGGTGCTACTTATCTAGGAAGAGTAAGGTGCTACCCATCTAGGAAGAGTAAGGTGCTACCTTTCTAGGACGAGTAAGGTGCTGGCTATCTAGGAAGAGTAACGTGCAACCTATTTAGAAAGAGTAAGGTGCTGCCTATCTAGGAAGAGTAAGTTGCTACCTATCTAGGAAGAGTAATGTGCTACATATCTAGGAAACTAAGGTACTACATATCTAGGAAGAGTAAGGTGCTACCTATCTAGGAAGAGTAAGGTGCTACCTATCTAGGAAGAGTAAGGTGCTACCTATCTAGGAAGAGTAAGGTGCTGCCTATCTAGGAAGAGTAAGGTGCTGGCTATCTAGGAAGAGTAACGTGCAACCTATTTAGGAAGAGTAAGGTGCTGCCTATCTAGGAAGAGTGAGGTGCTACCTTTCTAGGAAGAGTAAGGTGCTACCTATCTAGGAAGAGTAAGGTGCTGCCTACTTAGGAAGAGTAAGGTGCTACCTATCTAGGAAGAGTAATTTGCTACATATCTAGGAAACTAAGGTACTACAAATCTAGGAAGAGTAAGGTACTACCTTTCTAGGAAGGAAGAGTAAGGTGTTACCTATCTAGGAAGAGTAAGGTGCTGCCTATCTAGGAAGAGTAATTGGTGCTACTTATCTAGGAAGAGTAAGGTGCTACCTATCTAGGAAGAGTAAGGTGCTGCCTATCTAGGAAGAGCAAGGTTCTATCTATCTAGGAAGAGTAAGGTGCTACCTATCTTGGAAGATTAAGGTGCTACCTATCTAGGAAACATAAGGTGCTACCTATCTAGGAAGAGTAAGGTGATACCTATTATGAAATTGTTAAATCTTAAGAGGACGAAGTTTTCTAAGCTTAGGAGCAGAACGAGATCTGTTCTTCGCTGATGTAGTATTTAGACCACGTGACCTCGGTCCTTCCTTCCCCTGGAGATCAGCTGATTCCAACCTGAGGTCGGTCAACTCAAGGTCAGGGATTCTAATCCCGGCATAATCTATAATATTTACAACAGCTAAATACATCTATATATATTTAATTACTACAACTACAAAATATATTATTCGCGGGGAACTTCTTTAAACAGATTCGTCCAGTTTGGTTTAATTTAATAATAATCATGTAAAATACTATTAAACTATTGCTCTTTTATTTAACGACAAATGATGACATATCAAAATAATACACTTTTGCTAAATATTTTAATATTAGATTAATTAAAAGCTTTCTTGAAATTCACATGTTGATTTGTATCATTTATTAAAAATTATTAATTTACTTAAATTCTATAAAGATGAAATATGACTAAGCAGAAAAGTGGATATCGTTATTAAAACATCTATAGAGTAATTTTCTATGTTTAAAGAGGTTTCCCTGTTTCCGTATGCAATTTAAAAAAGGCTACGTGCTGTAAATTGCGTAAAGCGTACTGCACTCACCCCAGTGTTGCGTAGATTTAGATTTGCTTCGAGGACGTATACTCGTGTCTTCGTTCATTCTTCTAAACAGATATTATTGAAAACTACAATGGAACCCATAAAACTCTGGATTAGGAAGACGACTTGGCTCATGAATGAACATGCAACGCGGCAATTACACATTTTACTTAAAACGTTGATTTTCAAGCTACTAGTAATCAACTATTTGCTTAATAACAGCACAAAATACACATACAGTGACAACCAGAAAACTCTAGAATAGGAAGACGACTTTAAGACTCAAGCCATGACTTAAAATAGTCCAATGAATATGCGACACGGGCACGGTAATTGTGCAGAGACCCATTTTACTTATTTATTCATTAAATAAGTGTCTGGTAAAACAATTTGCTTTGTAACAACATCCAATATACACTTCAGTATTGCCATAAAGTCGTCTTCACATTTCAGAGTTTTCTGGTTATTATTATAAGATTGCTTCAATATCATTTTACTATTCCACAATTTTTATAGGTCCTACTAAAAGATATTCTAGTCTAGAAGTAAATCAAGTATATTCTGATCAATACTAATCTATATAAATATATATAAATATATGTAAAGTTGTAATCTCTGTTTGTCTGGCTCCTAAGCTAGTAATCTTTATATTTCACAAAAATATTCACTTTGTTGTAACTTGTATTGTAATAAAACAATTCAATTAAATTTAAATGTATAAAATGAAAACTCATGTTAAATATAGAATAGTTTTATATTCATCAATGTCATGCAAACCTAAGGCTGAAAAATCTCAAATTCAATTCAACCAAGGTTAAAATCTTACCTTAATCCTTTCCCAGATATTGATATCTGAGGATCAGGGTTTCGTCCTTCAAGAATTCCGGAGAATTGAACCTGAACCCCTCCCATGGTACTCGGCCTCTCCCCGTCTACTAATCTCTCAGGTCCAAGGGTTGAAGGTCGTTCTCCGCCCATAGTTCTAGGCCTGGTGATGGGAGGGAGGGATAAAGGGTTCCGGGTGTAGGGCGGAGAACTTGACTCACTCCTACTTCTCCGACCCGACCTGGAAAACATATTGCTTATTAAATCTTTACAACTATACGGTAAAATACAGTTGTAACCAGGAATCAGTGAAATTCTAGTCGTCTTTGTTTCTTCTTCTCATTGAGAAATGTCGCTAAGAAAATTGTATTTTGTAATATTGTTGTGACTGACATGTTTTTAAAACTGTACAAGAACCGAATTTAATAAATTAATCAGGTTGCTGAACCACTTTTCGCCAGTTCAAATCCTGAATCACCGATTCAAATACTAATGAGCACCGTATTTCCGCCTGTTAAAGGTAAACTTCTTTGTCAGGATCTCTGATTTAAAACGTCGGGTTAACTTCCTCGCAGGATGATTTATTTTTCTATAAGGAAGTTCACATGCTGTACATATACTTTACACTATATACTACATGCAGTACGTTGTATAACATTCCTAGTAAACGAAGAAAAAGTTCAGCTCTAAGGCAGTATAGAGTCATTTGACAGTACATCGTGGCGTACTGTAAAATGACCGGTTCTTTAAAAAAGTTTCCGTAAAAACTCCTAAGATTTCGCACTAAAAAAGTCCTTTTACTAAAAAGTCTCTGAAAATAAAGTCCTGCCAATTCGAGACTTTATTTTCAACCTTTCTTTGGACTTTTTTCTTTTCCCAAGACTTTGGCCTTTTTTCTAGGTGTTTCTTCCTTGGATTTATTTTCTTCAGGACTTTTATTCCTGTGATATTATTTTCTGAGACTGTATTGGCAGCCCCCATACCATTTTAGGAAAAAAGTCCCAGGAATTTAAAACACAAGACTTTATCAAAAAGTGACATTTTTCCAAGGACTTGAGAAATCTCGTACTTTTTTCCAAATTTTTTATTTCCAGGTTTTTTTTCTAGAAACTTTTTTTCCGGGACATAGATTCAAAATGACCCAATGCCATGAGAACTGAACTTGTCCTTCCTTCAATGGAATGTTATGCAACGTACTCCATGAAGTATATCGTGTACTGCATAGGAACTTTCTTATAGAAAAATAAATCATCCTGCGAGGAAGTTGTCCCGCCTTTTTAAACCAGAGATCCTTACATAGAAGTTTACTTTTGACGGGCGATGAACCTTTCACTTTGAATCGGTGATTCAAGATTTGAACCTGCGCGGCAGTAGGTAATTCAGTAGCTAAAACTTCATTATATTCAGTCCCAGTACACAATAATCATTTAGAAATAAAAAATCCTTTATAGCAACATTTCATGTAAAATAAGAATAAAAATACTCCTTTCATTCCGATGTTTTCTGGTTACCACCAAAAGGTTGCCACTTTAAATCCCAATTTGAAGATGAGCTGTATATATGTACTATATATATGTCCCAATCAGATAAAGTCTCTGTCACTTACTTTTGGCTGACAAGGCTGGTTGAACTTCCAAGTTTTGAAGTTTTCTGTAAACTGATATTTTCTCTTCTCTTCTCCAACCCATCATTTAATCTTGTTCCTGCAGTTCTTCTCCGCTCCGGGGTTCTTCTCCGCTCCGGGGTTCGGTTTGAAATATTATTTCTTTCAAGCTTGAACGAGTTCGATCTCTTTGTCCGACTTAAATGAAACACTTTTACCAATCGATTAATTTGAAAAATTATTTTCCCCCCTCTTTGAAAAATCTTTGTTGCCACCAGATAAAAATTAAATGAATTTTTTGGGGAAAGCATAAACATGGAGGAGAATGTTGCCAGTTCAAGTGACCCTCCATGCCAAGATGGCAATGCCCGATTCACAAAGGAACCTTGAAGCATGTATCTGATCATTAATGTGCAAGATGTTATCGTTTTTATTCGTTAAAAAACCAATATTAGGAATGATCAGTTTTCAAAATTGTAAATATTGATTTGTAATTCCTCAGACAAAGCTTTTAAGTTTACCCTTGTCACTTGTAAATCGGACAATTGCCACCCCTGCATAGAATAGTACTTTTTTTTAGTTTTCCCCAGATCCAACTCATGTAATTATTCGGAATGTTAATTTCTTTACCTTGAATTTAATACAGATGAATTTGTGAAAGGATGATGTAATCTGAACCAGGGAAATAATTTATTAGATAAGAAATTATTGGAGAGTTTATTTTACAGAATATTACATAAATTTCTTTTTTGCAATTTAAATCAAACAAGTTGACATTGATTTGAAATAAATAATTAGTATTGTCTGATTAAATTTATTAAATGTCTGATATATTCTCTAGGTTTCCTAGCAGTAGGAGCAGAGGCAGGCATACTTCGGATAGTTGGTAGAGATACAGGAGCAGTTGCTTCATCATCATCATCATCATCACTAGAATACATATCATCATCATTATCATCATCATAATCATCCTCCTCCTAATCATTAACATCAACATCAACATCAACATCATCATCAACATCAAAATCAACATCAACATCAACATCAACATCAACATCAACATCAACATCAACATCAACATCAACATCAACATCAACATCAACATCAGCATCAACATCAACATCAACATCAATATCAACATCAACATCAACATCAACATCAACATCAACATCAACATCAACATCAACATCAACATCAACATCAACATCAACATCAACATCAACATCAACATCATTATCATTTATCATCATCATCATCTTCTTCAGAACTATACATGTAGTAGATGCTTGTAATCTATAAATGCCAAACCAATGGGCACGATCTTGTCAGCTATCAATGTCAACAAGGACACAAGCTGTAATCTATAAATGCCAAACCAATGGGGACGATCTTGTCAGCTATCAATGTCAAAAAGAACACAAGTTTGTAATCTATAAATGCCAAACCAATGGACACGATCTTGTCAGTTATCAATGTCAACACGGACACAAGCTTATAAACTATAAATGCCAAACCAATGGGCACGATCTTGTCAGCTATCAATGTCAAAAAGAACACAAGTTTGTAATCTATAAATGCCAAACCAATGGGCACGATCTTGTCAGTTATCAATGTCAACACGGACACAAGCTTGTAATATAAATGCCAAACCAATGGGCACGATCTTGTCAGCTATCAATGTCAAAAAGAACACAAGTTTGTAATCTATAAATGCCAAACCAATGGACACGATCTTGTCAGTTATCAATGTCAACACGGACACAAGCTTATAATCTATAAATGCCAAACCAATGGGCACGATCTTGTCAGCTATCAATGTCAACAAGGACACAAGCTGTAATCTATAAATGCCAAATCAATGGGCATGATCTTGTCACTTATCAATGTCAACAAGGACATAAGCTGTAATCTATAAATGCCAAACCAATGGGGACGATCTTGTCAGCTATCAATGTCCACAAGAACACAAGCTTGTAAGCTATAAATGCCAAACCAATGGGCACGATCTTGTCAGCTATCAATGTCAACATGGACACAAGGTTGTAATCTAGCAATGCCAAACCAATGGCCATGATCTCTGCTCATATTTTAAACGAGAACCAAATTACTCTCAACACTGTAATAAAAGCTGAGTCTCTATATCAACTAATTTATTTTAGATATCTTATGTTACAAGTTAACGTGAATTGATGTGATTACAAGTTTTATGTCGAAATATATATATATATATATATATAGCGTAGTTTAAGTTTAATGTACGTATTTATAAGATTAGCGAGGATTGATATAATGTAGCTAAGCCACACATGTTCTCAGGGAAATGTAAGTGAAATGTACTTATTTAAAGGATTAAGATGGATTGATATAAACGTATTAAATCTGAGCTCAATGCATGTTTCAATCATGTTACGTAGCTCATGTTTAATATATCTAGGTAAGTTCAGGTTAACAATTATGGGGATTGCTGTATCTATTATATACATACAGCCTGACGGTAAAATGTTTACGTACACCAAATGAATCATACCCCTGAGTCATAGCCATGAATCATACTGAGCATATCTAGGAGATGGATCGAATACCTGAGATCTGGATACTGAGCATATTTAGGAGATGAATCGTATATCTGAGATCTAGATACTGAGCATATCTAGGAGATGGATCGAATACCTGAGATTGGATTCTGAGCATATCTAGGAGATGGATCGATTACCTGAGATCTGGATACTGAGCATATCTAGGAGAGGGATCGAATACCTGAGATCTGGATTCTGAGCATATCTAGGAGATGGGTCGAATACCTGAGATCTGGATACTGAGCATATCTAGGAGATGGATCGAATACCTGAGATCTGGATACTGAGCATATCTAGGAGATGGATCGAATACATGAGATCTGGATAATGAGCATATCTAGGAGATGGATCGAATACATGAGATCTGGATAATGAGCATATCTAGGAGATGGATTACATACCTGAGATATGGATACTGAGCATATCTAGGAGATGGATTGCATACCTGAGATCTGGATACTGAGCATATCTAGGAGATGGATACTATTTACTCATTGATCTTGCCTCCACCCCCTCGCCCCAACCCATAGATCCAGAATGCTATGGAGAGTTGCAAAACTGGGTCAACTTTAAAGTGTCGCAACTCCTTGGCTTTTGATTTTATCTCACCACCTCATATAAACTTTTTGTAGATTTAGACATGAACATTTTAGAACACATAACACTTATTTATTGCTTCATTTTATTAAAAAGCAATTGTCAAAAACTACCCGTTAATATTGTTAATCTTGTTCTCCTCTTTCTCCAGCATCTTCTCCTGTAGAGCTGTCAATGCTGGATTAAAATTACCAGAAACACATCCTAGGGAAAAAGTTGTTTCTTAAAGGGACTATGTAAAGTAATTAAACTGGGTATGCAGTTTTGAGCACACATTCTTTAGGATTCATTTGATACATATAAAACGTTTCCATTATGTATAATTACTAAGTTTTAGCGCAAAGTCGACGTTCAATATCATGAATTTGGGTGGGACGTTTTCATAATCGGTTTTTTAAAAAATATTAAATAATGACATTTAAAAATATAGTAAAAATTCTATAGAAAACTAATTTGATGTTTATGAACATGTTTCTCAAAAGAAATTTGTCAATAAATTGAAGTTAGAAATAATTATTTCCTTTTTCATCATTTTATTGAATTTCTTATTTTCTATGAATTTTTTCGCAGATTTCTTCACATTCTTCAAATGTCGTCTTTTTTATAAAAATTCCAGAAAATCTGCAGAAAATCACTGTGATTAAAGAGAGATTATAGAAACTAATAATTGAATAAGAATACTTATTTTTGATGACAAGAGTTAATTTTTTAATTCTGCATACTCAGTTTAACTACCTTACATTGGCGGTCTGTCCCTTTAAAGGGGTACTGCCGAAAAACAACAGGGGTGAAGAATGAGCTGTATACAAAAACTTATAAATCTTTATTTTATTTTTAGCGGATATTTTTTGTCCAAAACGGTTCTATGCACCGAAACTCTGCATTTTTCTGTTTTGCATAAATATTTACATTGATATAGAATTGAGTCTTTGCCACAAACTCTGATTTTCTAATTCATTTATCTTTGAAACCCGATTTCTTAGACCTTAGATATTTCAAACAATAATTTCTGATAGAAAAAATAATTAAAATTTGAAATGTCAAAGGTTTACATTATCCGGTTGCATAGATATAGGATTTAGAAAATTTGAGTTTGTGGCAAAGACTCAATTTCTTTTCCCTAATAAAGGTTATACATTCATTTGAAGAACTATGAACTTTGAAGATTTATATATATATAGATTCCCTGTGTAGTGTGTACGGTTTAATACAGAATACTACTTTTTATCAGGATAAAATATAATGAAAAAAGTTTGATAATCTTAATCCTCAAACCTATTAATTTATCCAGTAAAGCAGAAAACAGTTTCTCCTCAAAATACTTCTCCGGATTACTCTCATACTTTTCACTGAAATCATAAATAATTGTAAAATTAGTTTTTTTACATCAAAGGAACTGATTACTTGCCACAAACTTTGATTTTCTCATTCTTTTATCTTTGCAACAGGATGTGTCTTTTGTTTTAAAATAAGAATTCTGATATGATCAAAGTATCAAAGGTCTAAATATCCTACAGTTAAACCCTAAATAATAAATACATCAAAAGAACGTAGCAAATGTCGTATTCTTCACTTTCTGATAATGGAATGTTGCAGATATCTAGTTTTTTAATTAAATGATTATACGAAACTCTTTTAAACTGTTCCGGCATATTCATGGCTATTTATCTATTTTCGCAAATACTTAGACTTCCGTAAACATTTCATAAATTCTTTAGATGTTCTTAATATTTAGGGTTTCACTGTTCGACTAAACAATCAATGGTTGCAAAATTATTTGGAAGAAATTCAGAAAATTCGAGCTTAAGGCGATTAATCAGTTTCTTTATATAAATATCATTGGAAAAATATGCATAACGGGAATATTTGCATATATCATTGATTTGCAAAAAAAATGGTTCTGCAAGATCAGGAAAATAAAATCGTAAACACTATTAGCCATCAAACATATTTTAAAAGTTTGTATACAAAATGTTTCTGACCTTATATAAGCAGGTACAGTAATGTCGTCTTCCAGGATTCCATGTTCAGCATAAACTTCTTCCTGGTCGTCTTCCTCAGTCATATTTGGCCTTAGTCAGATACAGATACAGAACAATTGATAAAAAGGATACAGTAGTATACATGCCAGAAGATTCAGGATACAGGATATAAGATATAGGACACAGGATATATGAAATAAGATACAGCACACAGGATATAAGATATAGGATACAGGAAAACATGACTTAAGATACAGGATGCAGAATACACATGATATAAGATACAGAATAATTGATATAGGATACAAGACATAAAATATATGTAAACCTCAAGTTAAATTAAAATCTTGCAAGTTTTGAAATTCTAATAAAACCGAATAGAATATGCTTTTTATAAACTTGTGCGTAAATTTAGAACTAGAGGTGCTACGAGGTCCTTCTGCCTAGTGGAGTTTGTGATATACAACAAAGAAAATATTTAGTACAAATGTTTCACATGAACTTTGATCTTCACCTTCTGTATAGTGGAGTGTGTTATAGAGAACAAAGGATATATTCAGTACAAATGTGTCACATGAACTTTGATCCCCACCTTCTGCCTAGTGGAGTGTGTGATATAGAACAAAGGATATATTCAGTACAAATGTTTCACATGAACTTTGATCTCCATCTTTTGTATAGTGGAGTGTATGATATAGAACAAATGAGATATTCAGTACAAATGTTTCACATGAACTTTGATCTCCACCTTCTGTATAGTGGAGTGTGTGATATAGAACAAAGGATATATTCAGTAAAAATGTTTCACATGAACTTTGATCTCTTCCTCCGTCTAGTGGAGTTTGTGATATACAACGAAGGATATATTCAGTACAAATGTTTCACATGAACTTTGATCTCCACCTTCTGTCTAGTGGAGTTTGTGATATAGAACAAAGGATATATTAAGTAAAAATGTTTCACATGAACTTTGATCTCTTCCTCCGTCTAGTGGAGTTTATGATATACAACGAAGGATATATTCAGTACAAATGTTTCACATGAACTTTGATCTCCACCTTCTGTCTAGTGGAGTTTGTGATATGCAACAAAGGATATATTCAGTACAAATGTTTCACATGAACTTTGATCTCCACATTAGAGGCTCTATATGAGACCATTGAAGATTTAATAAATTTAATTAATGTTAATATTAACATAAAAATGTTAATGTTAATTGATATTAACTTATAAATAAACATCAATTGTTAAAGTCAATGTTAATGTTAATTTTAAAGTCAATGTTAATGTTAACGTTAATGTTAATGTTAATGTTAATGTTAATGTTAATGTTAATGTTAATGTTAATGTTAATGTTAATGTTAATGTTAACTTTATATTCTGACAACCATAAACTTCAATGAATTGTTTATAGTTAATGTTAATGTTAATATTAATGTTAATGTTGATGTTAACTTTATATACTGACAAGCATAAACTTTAATGAATTGTTTAAAGTCATGTTAATGTTAATGTTAATGTTAACTTTATGTTATGACAACCAAAAACTTTATTGAATTGTTCAAGCTCAATATATGTTAACGTTAATGTTAATGTTAATGTTAATGTTAATGTCAATGTTAATGTTAATGTTAATGTTAATGTTAATGTTAATGTTAATGTTAATGTTAATGTTAACTTACTGACAAGCATAATCTTTAATGAATTGTTTAAAATCGATGTTAATGTTAATGTTTACTTTACCATAAACTTTAATGAATTGTTTAAAGTCAATGTTAATGTTAATGTTAATGTTAACTTTATATACTGACAACTATAACCTTCAAGCAAAAACTTTAATGAATTGTTTAAAGTCAATGTTAATGTTAATGTAAATGTTAATGTTAATGTTAATGTAAATGTTAACTTTATTTTCATTTCCTAAATTGAGTATAAAAGTCGTCTTCCTATTTCAGAGTTTTCTGGTTAAGGTCACATCATATGTATAATTTGCATGATAAGAAAAATATAACTTGGTGCAATAATAAGTATAGAGGGTTCTGGTAATAGGACACATAAATGTACATGAGACACTAGATAATAAGATGAGAGTAACCTTTCTTTATCAGCAATCTTCTCCTTTTTATTTGCTCCTCTTTTTGAGTTCTTTTTTGTACTCCCTGTACTCCCAACCCCATTCTCATCCACAGCCTTATCCAGCATTCCAGTCTTGGATCTTAATAATAATCATAATCATGATAATAATAATAATAATAGCAGGATTTTTCATTTTTAAGAATTAATGATTTTCAAGAATTAAAGGGAGAACTGGCATGATTTTCAAGAATTAAAGGGAGAACTGACATGATTTTCAAGAATTAAAGGGAGAACTGACATGATTTTCAAGAATTAAAGGGAGAACTGACATGATTTTCAAGAACTTTGAAGGAAAAATGGGAAATTGGCAACATTACATTTTTTTCTCCTTTTTTACAAGTTTAAAATGTCAAGGAGGGGGGGTTAAATTTGTATAATAATAATAATAATAATAATAATAATATATAAACTGTTGAAAGATTCAATCTAATTTTATCTACTTCATATTTGAATATTATAAACCAGAGGGTTTAGCTAGATATGCAATATATGCAATATATGCATTGCAAAATTATAAAGATTTTACAATAATCTTTATTGGACAGTGCACAGGTATATTATTTCCTATACCAACATACAATCAAATTTATTATAAACAAAATTGGTTTTAAAAATCCAACCTTTTTATTGTATTTCTTCTTTTTCCAGTCATTGAAGAACTTCTACTATAATATACAGATATTTTTTATACGTCTTTATAAATTTTTTGAAATAAATTAATATGAAAAAAAATTTGATTTTACAAAGAATAAATTGTACAGGGTGTCCCAAAAAACATGGGAATTCAGTGACGAATTTGATATCGTCTTTTCAAATAATTCTTTGATTTAGTGTAGTGATACCTACTGAGGAAGCTGTAATCTGTAAGAGTTTCGTCTGCTATGTTTACATTTTGTTTGTTTATGTTTTGACTGCATACGGTTGTAGTAAAACAAGAAAATTACAGTAAACAAACAGAGTAAACTTGTCCGTCTTCACTGTTCATCTTGCGGAGACATTATAGACACATCTTTACAGTCTTTTACCCTTTTCATAAAAGAAGCTCTAGCAGACATAATAATATTATGGCTTTTGAAATTAGGTATTACAATGCTAATTCATTACAAAGACGATATCAAATTCGTCACTGAATTCCCATGTTTTTTGGGACACCCTGTAACTAATCGTATTTAATTGTTTAACGCAGATTTGAGATCTTTTCTTCAAATCTTGGGTATATTTAAATTCAGACAACAAATCCACATAATTCTAGGCTATCATTGAGTCTCTCTCTCTTGTAAATTCATTAATTTTAAACAATTTTGACAGAATGTTGAAAATTTAATTAAATTTTAAATGTTTTGAAAGAGTTTAAAATTTCAATTCGTTTGAAGAAAAATATAAATAATTGCCTGGGGTTGAAATGAGAAGGTTTCTCTAAATGAATTGCTTGTCCTATCACTCTGAAAATATAATGATTAAAACAATGTTCTCCCTACATTGCACCCTGGACTAACCAGGGCTAGATGTGTTCACCCTGGACTAACCAGGGATAGATGAGTTCATCCTGGACTAGCCAGGGCTATATGTGTTCACTCTGGACTAAAAAGGGATAGATGAGTTCATCCTGGACTAGCCAGGGCTAGATGTGTTCACTCTGGACTAACCAGAGATAGATGTCTTCACCCTGGACTAACCAGGGCTAGATGTGTTCACCCTGGACTAACTAGGGCTAGATATGTTCACCCTGGACTAACCAGGGATAGATGTCTTCACTCTGGACTAAAAAGGGATAGATGTGTTCACTCTGGACTAGCCAGGGATAGATGTGTTCACTCTAGACTAACCAGAGCTAGATGTGTTCACCCTAGACTAACCAGGGCTAGATGTGTTCACCCTGGACTAACCAGGGATAGATGTGTTCACCCTGGACTAACCAGGGATAGATGTGTTCACCCTGGACTAACCAGGGATAGATGTGTTCACCCTAGACTAACCAGGGATAGATGTGTTCACCCTGGACTAACCAGGGATAGATGTGTTCACCCTGGACTAACTAGGGCTAGATATGTTCACCCTGGACTAACCAGGGCTAGATGTGTTCACCCTGGACTAACCAGGGCTAGATATGTCCACACTGGAGTAACCAGGGCTAGATGTGTTCACACTGGACTAACCAGGGCTAGATGTGTTCACCCTGGACTAACCAGGGCTAGATATGTCCACACTGGACTAACCAGTGATAGATGTGTGCACCCTGGACTAACCACAGATCTAGGAGAGCAACGCAAATTGTTTGTCTAATCGGTCAAATTGTGATCGAAAGTAAAAGCTTGCTGGGAATAGGACAGAACCGTTGAGTTAGTATGAGACAGAATAAAATTTTCAATATCTCGAAGACTACGTATATAAAGGAAATGGACAATGCAAAATATTTCAATAGACTCTCGATAATTTAATGCTTTATGTAATGTTCACAATTTCCTCCGCTGATTCCAAGTTACTTTAAAGAGAAACAAAGTTAAAAATAATCAATTTTCAAAAAGAAAATAATGGATATCTTGAGCATCAGACAAAGCTCCTATGGGTACCGGCGTTGCGAATCTGAGTTCTATAAAGTTCTTTTTTAAAGGAAAGAATAAGACTCCTGTTAAATTACTTGTACGGTTTCTTTTTATCTCGTTTTGTCTATAGTTTAAATATTGCGCCCTAGTATTAAAAATGATTTCAAATCTTTTTTGTTCTTCTAAATATCTCTAACCAAAAAGCAGATTGTGTAAGATTTTAATCTAATTTGAAATTTACTTTATTAATTTGATATGAATTTCACCTTAGATGGGGAAAATGATCCTTCCAGATTTGACACTCTATCTCCTGTGCAGAAAGGATCCCGGAGCTGGGTTTAGGTTCGTAAAAATAATCATTAATCCTGTCCAACATAACCCGAACATTCTCAGTCGTTGCTTTCTCACATTCCTACAAATATATTAATATTATCATTTGGGTTAAAATGGAACTGATTACTCGCAAATTCCTGTATCTTTGAAGCCTATTGACTTAAAAAGAAGCAATTCCTAAAGAATATTTTTTTTTGAAAATTACATTACAATGTGATATTTTATCTTAACTTTGATATTTTTAAACTTTGATTTTTTGACCGGCCAAAATTCATTGTTTAAAATATTGAAGGCTCACGACATCAAGTAAGTATGTACAAAGATTAGATATTTGGAAGCGCATGATCACTTCCTTTGCTTTCAAAATCTCACCCGTTTGCTGATTCACGGTGATTAAGGGTTTATTGATTGGTTGTCTTCCCTTTCATAGCTTTCTTTTCAATCGGCTATGCAACGTATGTTTTAATTCATGCACTGTTTGGGAGCTAAACGCACGGCTTATTAAGTTTTTTTTTAATGGCTGCTGAATGACGGATTTAAATTTGACTTAAATATTAAGATACGACTCATGCACTGTTAATTTATGCGTGGATTAAGAAATCAAATATTTAAATTCAACACTTACATCATCAGCCCAGGATAGCGAGCTGTCAGTTCCTCTGTCATATAAACTAGACCAGGAGAAACCAGATCCACACCCGTCCTGTACTCCTCTATATAATACAATATGATATAAGGAGAAACCAGATCCACACCTGTCCTGTACTCCTCTATATAATACAATATTATATAAGGGGAAACCAGATCCACACCCGTCCTGTACTCCTCTATATAATACAATATGATATAAGGAGAAACTAGATCCACACCCGTCCTGTACTCCTCTATATAATACAATATTATATAAGGAGAACCTAGATCCACACCCGTCCTGTACTCCTCTACATAATACAATATGATATAAGGAGAAACCAGATCCACACCTGTCCTGTACTCCTCTATATAATACAATATTATATAAGGAGAAACTAGATCCACACCCGTCCTGTACTCCTCTATAATACAACATGATGTAAGGAGAACCTAGATCCACACCGGTCCTGTACTCCTCTATATAATACAATATAATATCAGGAGAAACTAGATCCAGACCCGTCCTGTATTCCTCTATATAACACAAAATGATATAAGGAGAAACTAGATACACACCCGTCCTGTAATCCTGTATATAATACAATATGATATAAGGAGAAACTAGATCCACACCCGTCCTGTACTCCTCTATATAATACAATATGATATAAGGAGAAACTAGATCCACACCCGTCCTGTACTACTCTATTTAATACAATATGATATAAGGAGAAACTAGATTCATCCCCGTCCTGTACTCCTCTAATCTATATGCAAAACAAGGAGAAACAAGACCCATTTTCGTCCTGTAATTCTTCCTTTTTTTAGTTTATCTTATCTAATTTAAAAATTCAGTTCCTCTACTATTTGTCTGAACCAAAGAATTCAATCAATACACATCATATTCACATTTTACAAAATCCTGTTTATTTAAATATATTATTTTATTTCATTCTACTTTTTGTAACCCTTGTGAGTACCTTCATCCAACCTACCTCCTTTCTTCTCCTCCCCTTGTTAATAACCTTGTCAGGTTTCCTGTTCCAAGTTTTATTACCTGAGTTCTCTGTTGTAACATTCCTCATCCTGCTCTCGGACGGATTGGAGCGGATAAGGTTCCCGGAAGGAGTGAAGGGAATATGGTTCTTGAAACGACTGGAGGGTTCTGGATGGTTCTCTTGAAGTATTCTGTATGTATCCTGGTTCCATGTAGGAGTTAACACCAAAAGGTTCTCTGGATCCGCTGTACTGGTGTTCCCTTGTTCCTCCGTAGTGGGGTTCCCTGGTTCCTCCGTAGTGGGGTTCCCTGGTTCCTATTCTCAACTCTTATTGTCATATTTCTCTGAAAGAAATAGTTTAAAAATAAATGTATTTTTATTTTTAACTATTTTCCTATTTAATTTATTTAATATTTCATGCCAGACAACTTTTTGATTTTATGGATGATTGAAAGGATCTTTTTATAATTGCCTAAAACTAAAAGTTTGGATTGAAATCATTAGTGTAACTATTGGTCTGGAGTACTTTGTTTTCTAAGCTCTTGGTTGCAAGAATTCGCTGTATTTACCTGAGCTACCGGAGTTTTATCTCCGTCTTCGTCCTGGAGCTGGAACCCAAACCCAGGAATATCCCGGATAACATCGGGTTTCATCTCCTGACGACTCATCAACCGATTTCGTGATCTTGACGCACTATTCATTCTTGACGCACTGTTTATTCTTGACGAACTGCTCATTCTTGACACACTTCCCAGTCCTGATGTGCTGTTTAATCGTGACGCACTTCCTATGAGTGTACCACTTCCCAGTCTAGAGCTTGAACTCCCAACCCTGGATCCGCTCCCAACCCTACTCTGAGAGAACCCGGATAAACCGTCCTGTCTTGTCGCACCTCCATGTTTCTCCTTCCTTTCAACCTGAAATAGTTTTATTCGCTTCCTATAAACATAAACTTTATTCATTTCAGATTCAAACTTTTACACTCATCATTATACAGCTCTCTAAACAGGGGCGTATACAGTAATTTTTCTGCTGTATACGCCTCCCCCTCTATTTACAGTATTGGTATTCCATGTCATCTGTATTACAATATACATTACTAGCCTGAGAGGGCGCTTCGCGCCCATCTTCTAAATTAATTGTGAACATGTTCTCTTTGTGTACATCGTAAAACAAAACAAAAATAATTCGCGGATTTTCACAAAAAATTTCGTGGATTTTCAAAATTTTCAAAAATTTAATCAAGATCGAATTTTGATGGAGACAAATATTTGAAATTTTGATCATTCATAAACCTTCCCTGGAGTCCCTAGATGTCCCACAAAAAATTTGGGCCCGATCGGTTCTGCCGTTTTGACGTTTATTGGATACAAACAAACAGACAAACAAACAGACAAGCCAAATTTATATATAGATACAGTTTGACCTGAAAAACATAATAATGAAGTGAATACCTTTATATCAAATGATTCATATGTCATTTCCCCGTGAACATAATAATATTGAATTAATATTTCCTATACATGTATATATAGATAAATAAAATCTTCAAATATTTTCAAGAAAAATAGAAACAGACCACGTTTTGGAATGCTTGTAAGACGTATGACCTTTTCCTGATACAATCTGTTAACATTTATGGAAAACTAGCTGAAAGGTTCGTCATTCCCATGTTTATTGAGACACCCTTTACTTTATACACTATACATTATACCAGAGGTTGAAGTTTTCAAGGACAAATCAATATTTTCCTGATATTGAAAATATTTTCAAAATCTAACTGACAATTCTCAGAATTTAATTTAAAATTTTTATTAAAATTCATTATTACACAATTTTAGACACTTTAATTTAAAAGTTCCAACTCTCGATATATTTTAACTCATTCATGTTACAAAAGTAATCCTGAAAACCATAAGTTAGCCATATCTAATTAATGATTTTTACATCTTTTATTTTATTCATGCTAAAGGGATACCTCAAAATAAAAATGCTTCCGCGTATTACAATAGCATTAAAAAAAAATAATTTCTCTTGCGGAACTATTTTGCCAAAAGGACAATATTTATTTTGATTTTTTAAAGCACCAAAATAGACTTGAATGACAAAACACAGATTTTAGTCAACTAAAAGGAACATGATTCTTTACCACAAACTCAAATTGTCTAAGCCCTGCAATAAATGCTGTTTGAACATACCTATATATATGCGTTGTACAATGTTTAAGGATCTAACTGCGTCAATCCTTAAATACGTAAAACTTATAATGCGATTCTATTAGCGTAATATTGTGAATACGTATTGGAACCTACATGTAACATGGAGATTTAGAAATAGACATCAGTTATAACCAGAACTCCGCTTTGATTACTGTGTAGAGTAATTTGGGTTTCGTTGAAACATACGAAGTGAGATCGTACCTTAAGTATTGGTATTGATCTATTTGATAGCCAATGGATTGTAGCGGTGTAGATCATGTCCTGTTTGAGACATCGATCAATTGATTGCTAGTGTCCGTATTGACACCGATAGTTCCTGGGATTGTAGCTGTGTGGATTCTGTCCTGTTAGAATTGAATCGTGGACTAGTTGAACCTGGACTGATACAGTTTATGTGAAGAACTTTTAAGAGTACGGCATATCTTTGCAACCTGATTGTGGAAACCTGTAATAGCTTAAACTTGGATTATTGATATATCAAAAATCAAAGTTCGAAATATCTAAGGTATACGACGTTGGATTGCACATACATAGAGATTAGAAATTCAGAGTTTGTGGCAAAGACTCATTTTTTGTTTAACAGGCCGGAGGTGATTTTGATTCAGTGAAATTTAATAAATTCCAAGTTAACTTTTGCTTCCAAACAAGTGGAAAATGCGTACGATTTTATTTCTGATTGAGTACTAAAAATATAGTTTTGTAAATATTTGTTTTGTAATAGTGTGTGAAAATTGAAGGTTTTTGCAGAGTTCTAACCATAAAACCATATAAACTATTTATTATTAATGAAGACCTCTGCATTTTTAATCTAAATTGTAATGTTGGTCTAAGAAGTCTGTCAGATTTGATTAATTATAATAACAGGAGTAGAGTAGACAAATAAACCTTCCATTATAGACAGACAGATAGACAGACAGATAGACAGACAGATAGACAGACAGATAGACAGACAGATAAACAGACAGATAGACAGACAGATAGACAGACAGATAAACAGACAGATAGACGGACAGATAGACGGACAGATAGACGGACAGATAGACGGACAGATAGACAGACAGATAGACAGACAGATAAACAGACAGATAGACGGACAGATAGACGGACAGATAGACGGCCAGATAAACAGACAGATAGACAGACAGATAGACAGACAGATTGACAGACAGATAGACAGAAAAGAAGAAAGATAGGAAGACGGACAATAGAGAATAGAGATTAGAGATTAGAGAGAGATATACAGATGAGGGTGTCCCGCGAAACATGAAAATTAAGTGATGACTTGAAGGTAGTTTTAGATCTTTGAAAAAATGAGTGGCATAATGTCATGTTTCGTGGGACACTCTGTGGTGGGATAATGTCATGTTTCGTGGGACACTCTGTGGTTAAATATTTACATTCATATAGTAAATCCATCAAATATTAAGTTTACAGGGGAATTTTGCGTATCATTAATTTCAATTAAGTTTGAAATTTAACATATTATGAAATAATCGAAGGAGTACTTTTTCACCTTTGTGTTTCTCAAGTTTCCAGGTATAGGAGAGAATATAGATGGATCCACGGGTTGACCGTATAGTATAGGCTGGGTAGACTGAAGGAAATAAAATATAATATACTAGGATTTTAGGGCGCTTCGCACCATGCATATTCTATTTTATTTTCAATTGTGAACATGTTCTCTTTGAATACATTGTAAAACAAAAACAAACAAAAATTTCGTGAATTTTATCAAAATAAATTGTGGATATTCAAAATTTTCAAAAATCGTATATTGTTACAGGCAAATTTTTGAAAATTCGATCATCCATAAACCTTCCCTTGGGTCACGCGAGGTCCCGCAAAAAATTTGGGCCCGATCGGTTCAGCCGTTTTGACGTTTATTGGACAAAGAAACAGATAGACAAACAAAGCATATATATATACTTGGCTATTAGGGTGCTTCGCGCCCATCTTCTATTTCAATTGTAAACATTTTCTCTTTGTAAACATTATAAAACAAAAAACGAAGATTTCGTAGATTTTATAAAAAAAAATTCTTGGATTTTCCGAATTTTTAAAAATCGAATTTAGCTAGAGACAAATTCATAAACCTTCCCTGGGGTCACGTGAGGTCCCACAAACAATTTAAGCCCGATATCGGGGTAAACTGTTTAAACGTTTATTGGATATAAACAAACATAACACCAAGACAGACAAGCAAAGTATATAAATAGATACTAGGAAACAAGGATAGAGGGATGCAGGAATACTAGGATACAAGAATGCTGGAATACTATAGGATACAAGGATACAGGGATGCTAGGATACTAGAATACAAGAATGCTGGAATACTAGGATACTAGAATAACAGAATAACAGAATACTATTTAGTATACTACTGTGAACTTAATGTAAAGGATGAAAGGATGAAAAGATACTAATAAAATAGAATACTAGGAAACTAGCATAATTGTTTAAACTTTAAAAAAGATGCAAGGATACAAGCAATGTATGTTTATTTTATAAATCAATTGAATTTGATGATTAGGTGCAGAAGGTTCCAGGGAGGAAGAGGAAGAAAATTCATTGTCAGATTAAGAACATCAAAACAAATATTTTTTCTGTAGTAATCATGGTAACAGATATTTACAAAACATAAGTATTTTTTTGAAGCGGTTACCTGCTTAATCATCCCGTGCATAGCTTATTTTTCTGCATTTTTCCCTGGAAACTCACAAATTGCTATTATCACGGGCAGCCGTAGTACATTTGAATTTCCGAGCCGGGTCAACCTTTCCGGTCCCAGTTTGTACTGTGCCGCACAGACATTGGGTTAATGAAGCAGACAATCAACAGGAGTAGCCGGTGCGACAAGGTTGACGCGGTCAGACTTTATGCTTCATTTATGTTGAATTTACTTTTACTAAAGGGACAGAGGTGCATGTTATAGAGTTAGTTATTTGTTCACTGGAATTCAATTCTAACTTCAAAGTAAAATATTAATAATTATTCTATTCAGCGTCAAGTCACAATTTTTATAGTTTAAAATAAATTTTTCGGATATTTAAAAATAATTTTTCTAGGTTTTTTTTAATTACTAGAACTGGTACGATTTTGTAATCTCTATATCTTAATTTTACTCCTCAATATAAGAAAAAATCTATTTGGTTGTATGTAAGAAATTCAAGTTCTTTGTTCTTCTAAACAGCTCATCGGAAAAAAGGAGTCATGATTAAAAACTTTTTTTCCTTTATTTTTAAGTTATTTTTATTTATCTAAAAAACTTTAAATTGAAATTGCAGTATTTCAATATGTTATTTTTTAAATGTTTTAAAAAATATTGGATAAAAATCAATTTTTGTAAATTAAATAAAAAGTTAAACTCAAGTTAAGTTCAAGTAAATAGCACGGAAGATTAAAAATGTTTTCAATCATAACTCTTCTTATTGAAGAGCTACATAAAATCAAAACTAGAGGACAATGCTAGACAATTCTGAAACAATTGTTTGGACAGCCTCAACTTTAAATTGTCGCAACGCTTAGGCCTGTGGTTTAACCTCACCAACTTAAGTATACTTTTTTGTAGCACTAGACATGTACATTTTAAATATGCAACACGTTTTATTCTGGCATGTATTTACTGTCCTGGTATTCAAGTATGCAGGATATGTATTTACTGTCCTGGTATTCAAGTATACAGGATATGTATTCACTGTCCTGGTATTCAAGTATGCAGGATATGTATTAATAGATAGATCTTATCTTTTCACATCATGCAATATCAAAATATTTTTAAATATAAACTAATATCTTCATTTTAAATTGATTTTTGAAATAAACCACCAAAATTTTTTTTTTTGTAAGATAGATTGAATGAAAATTTGTTATGTCTAAACTTTCATAATGACATTGACAAATGGTTTAATTGTATGCATAAATAGAATCTATGTTCTATTTTTAAAATATCAATATTTTTAAACAGCTAGACAATAGTTTTGTAATATTTATGTTTCACTTTATCTGTTTAGTGTTAGTTTTGTAGCAAAATATAGACTTTTCCCACCGCGTTATTATATTTAACTTGTTTATATATTTTTATTATTCTGTGGTTTTCAATTGATGACGAGATCTACACTGACAATCAGAAAGCAGGTTTTCCATCGTTGTCAAGCCTACCTTCTGTTTTACCTTTTCTACCCTATCCGTCCTCCAGCAAGGTCACGTGATCCTTCAACCAATAGGAAATCAGCTCAACATTATTTCAACCAATCAGAACAAAGTTACTGTACGGTTTAACCAATAATAGGAGAGAAAGGAAAGGGAATTCAAAGTTGTTTAATGTCAAATTCCTTCCTATTAGTATAACACGAAGAACGTGAATGGTATATGTATTCATGATGTTTTCTTATTTGGTATTAATAGTCTTTCTCATTGTCGCGGTCAATATTGTTTTAATTATTATTATTATTACTGTTATAATTACGTGTCCTAACTTAGAAAACAATAAAACATCTTTCGTAGAACAAAATTGATAAGAATGAAACACGCAATTTACAGATTTAAAAGATATTTATTTCTAAATGTTTCAGACAGAAAGTATGCAGATTATTAAATAGAATTTCAAATTCTTGGAGGTGAATTTCGATCTTTTAGGATTTTTAACTCAGGTATAATTTATTCTAATATCAAAAAACTTATTACACCCTCTCTTAGGACTGAGGTTTAATTACGACAAACGAACACAATTTAAAACAATTTAAAACACATTGCTATGAAATATTTCTCAAAGTTTCTTCCTAGTTTTTTCTTTTTTTTTTTTTTCTTGGAAATGTTCTCCAACTGTTTTCGGAATAGAAAATGAAGATAACAATTTAGAAAATGGAAAAATTAAAAATTCATAAAGTTTGGATGGACAAATTTAAGAAAAATAATACAAAAATGATATTTTCTTGTCATTTGTAAATTTTGGTGCGAATTCAAAATAAAATACTTTAGTTTGAGTTGAACAGGTTGAAAATCAAGATTTTGAGAATTTGGATTTGTGAGAAATAAACTAGTTTAATTCAAACCAAAAATAAAAATTGTATGTAAGGGAACACATTTTTCTTAAAAGAACCGCTGTTTGGTTACAATATAACCAGTTCGTTCTGCACTGTTTTACACTCGACACTCAAAAATGTAAAATTTAATAAACCGTATCCCTCTTCTCTACTCGATACATGACTTTCATATAATTAATCTATTTTTAATCGATATTCTACCTCCCCTCCTAACCACCTCTCTATTCTACTTTTAAACTTATTTATAAGCAGAATTTGGTTTGGTTCGGATCTCTAAAAAATGCAGTTTTTTTCGTTTTTTTTATAATTTTCTTTTACTTGATATTCAAAACTAGATTAGGACTTCCAAAGAATCTAAAGATTGGAGAAAGATTATTTATTTTGCTATTTTTACTTTTTACTTGTTTTAAGAAATAAGAAGTTATATTGTCAGTTTGTCTCTGACTGAGTTTTAAAATCTAAAAATAACTGTGACATAAAGAGAAAATATTACTCGCCTCCAACTCTAATTTTAGAAACCCTTTATCTTTGTATAAAGTTATAACGTAGCAAAATCTCCGTAAATTATTCTCTTTTTATGAATTGTACGATATATTAACATCGTTATCTTATAAACTTTATTCTAAGCAAAAGTATTTATTTTTTAACATAACTTAACACAATTGTGAATTAGGAACGTAATTCTTTTAATGGGGGTAGATAGCACAGTGCAATGGTGGGGTAGATAGCACAGTGCAATGGTGGGGTAGATAGCACAGTGCAATGGTGGGGTAGATAGCACAGTGCAATTGTATAATCATACAATGAATCTAACTTTAAAAACTCTGTTAAATAAACTTGTGAACAGTGCATTTAATTTCAGGTTTCCAATATGTCGGCATCTCCAGCTGTGATAAAACAGACCCAGGAGAGCCTTGGCAAGTTTATTAAGAAACCTCCTCTCACAGAGAAATTATTGAGCAAACCTCCCTTCAGGTAATATCCTCCCCCCTCCCTCCCTCTTCACTTCCTCTTCCCTCCTCACTTCCTCCCTCCCTGCATCCCTCACTTCACCCCTTCCTCCCTATTTATGTTTCCTGAAGTTTAAATTTTCTTGCTCCCCCAGCTGAACAAACCCTAGCTCATGGTGTTTTTTTTTCGTTTTAGTTTTCTTGCTCACACAGCTGAAAATCTTATATGTTGGTTCCTGAAGTTTTAGTGTTCTTTTTCTGCATGTGTATAAACCTTCAAGGTGTTGCCGTTAGTTTAGTTTTTTTCCTCCTCCAGCTAAATAAACCATCATGGTGTTTCCTCTTGATTTAGTTTTCTTGATCCCCCCAAGCTGAATAAAACCTACATGGTTTTTCCTTAAGGTTTAGTTTTCCTGCTCCCCAGCTGAATAAACATGAAGCTTCCTTTAGTTTTAGTTTTCTTGCTACCCAGCTGAATAAACTTGAAGCTTCCTTTAGTTTTAGTTTTCTTGCTCCCCAGCTGAATAAACATGAAGCCTCCTTTAGTTTTAGTTTTCTTGCTCCCCTGCTGAATAAACATGAAGCCTCCTTTAGTTTTAGTTTTCTTGCTCCCCAGCTGAATAAACATGAAGCCTCCTTTAGTTTTAGTTTTCTTGCTCCCCTGCTGAATAAACATGAAGCTTCCCGTATTTTTGTTTCTTGCTCCCCAACTGAAAAAAACATAAAGTTTCCAGTAGTTTATTTTCTTGCTCCCTATCTGAGTCTGTTTTCTCTTGCTGACTCAACGGTTTGATTCAAATACCTAAGACCTGTCAAGAAAACACGAAGGGATTGTAGATAATCATTTATTTAGTTTTTTGAAAAGATCGGAAAAGTTTTGATGAGATATAAGAGGGGTTAAAAGACTCAATTTACTTTATTGATTTTTAGGAATATTAAAGAGATATCAAATTGGATTATATGATATTTAAGGACATTAAAGGGATAGCAAAGGATTTTATGCTTTATAGGGAAATTATTTATAGGAAATTTAAGGGTTTTTACTTGACCAAGGGTTCCAAAAAAACTAATTTATCAATTTACTGTTTCATGAACAATAAAATAAATTAGATTGGAAAAGGGATGACTTGAAAAGGGATAACTTAAAAAGTGATGACTTAAAAAGGGATAACTTAAAAAGGGATAACTTAAAAAGGGATGACTAAAAAAGGGATGACTTAAAAAGGGATAACTTAAAAAGGGATGACTTAAAAAGGGATAACTTAAAAAGGGATAACTTAAAAAGGGATGACTTAAAAAGGGATAACTTAAAAAGGGATGACTTAAAAAGAAGGGATGACTTAAAAAGTGATGACTTAAAAAGGGATGACTTAAAAAGGGATGACTTAAAAAGTCAAGGAAATTCATTTTGAATTTTTCCTACCGAAAAAAGTATTTATTAACAAAAAATTTTCCTTTCAATGAACAAAATATACAAATAGCCTTAAGAAGATTCTGTTATTAAAAAAGGCGCAAGATGTACCCCTAGCTCTATACTTCTAGAGGCATATTTTTATTTGCCCACCTTGTATACTTGTGCAGGTTTCTCCATGATGTATTCACGATAGCAATGAAGGATACTGGAGCAATGCAAGGTCAGTAGATACATATCTTGATAAATATAACTTGGATAAAGCAATTTATTATATAATATAGCAGAGTATAGTCGTAATATGTGGTTTGATTTTGTAACCATATAGTCGGCCATTTTGTGATAATTATAAAGTTGTCGTCTCACGGTAAACTGGAATTCCTGAATAAAAGTCCAGCGAGTCTTAACTTTCAAACCCATTTTCACGAGATGCAGATTTTCCATATTTGCTATTTTATAATTTTTCGCTGATTGAGTTGATTTTTCATAATATGTTTTAATTGTTATGATCTGAGAGTTACTTATAAAAACATTTATTCCTGTTTCGAGGGTTTTTGGTAATGAAGACGACATTTTTATATTTTCCAGGAATGTTTGAAAACAAGTTGTAAGCTAAATATTATTTTAAAAAACAAAATCAAAACTAGTATGAAATATCAACTATATACAAATGTGGCGAAAGATAATCGATGACTATAGGTCGTAATATCTGAATGGTTTGTTTGAAATTAAATTGACTTTTTTACGGTCTAAGTCGTATGTTGCAATTTTCTCAATTTGTATGGACGCTAAGTTATTCGTTATGAGACGTCTTTAACAATTTTCTCCTTATAGATAGACAGATAGAACAGATAGAAGTAAGATTAGTAGCGATCAAAAGCGCTTTTTTATCGCATTAAGCCTATACCCCCTTTCATTTTTCACGAACACTCCCTTTAAGAGTATATGTCTTTAAATCCAAGACGAACAATATACTGAAACAATAAATGTCAATTATAAACTAATAATTGGGAATTGTTGTCCTCGTCATGTTTAATAAAATATTGGTTATAGCTGTTATTATCAACTATGACTCTGAATATGGGCCGGTGTCCCAAAAACCTTTTCAATTTGTGTTCATTTCTAACATTCATTGTTAGAAATGGGCCCAGTGTTAGTTTTGGAACTAATGTCCCCAGAAAATGGTTCACGACTAAACTATTTATCCTTCCGCTGAAAACCAATTAAACACAGCTATTCATAATTTTTGTGCTCATCCTCATTTATTTTCTGCAGATAAGTTAAATTAGAAATTATATTAGATCAGATTTAAATTCATCTAATCTTGGCAAAGCCAAGTATTTCAGATTATTCCTGTTTTTTAAACTTCTTGGAACTAATTTGATGAAACGTATTTTTCTTATTAAATCAATTATTTTTAGTTCAAAGCATAGAAAAGCAATTAAAGAGATAACTCGACCTGGTTTCTATTAGAAATATATAGTCTTATTCTTATCTGTTTTCTGTATACAGATAGTATTCTCCATCTTAATAAATCTGACAGGATTAGAAATAGTTTATTAGCAACTACACCTACATTTTCCTATAGGATACGCTCAGTAGTTTATTAGCAACTAAAATACATTTTCCTGTAGGATATGCTATCTAGTTTATTAACAGCTAAACATACATTTTCCTATAGGATACGCTCAGTATTTTATTAGCAGCTAGACCTACATTTTCCTATAGGATACGCTCAGTAATTTATTAGCAGCTAAACCTACATTTTCCTATAGGATACGCTCAGTAGTTTATTAGCAGCTAAACATACATTTTCCTATAGGATACGCTCAGTATTTTATTAGCAGCTAGACCTACATTTTCCTATAGGATACGCTCAGTAGTTTATTAGCAGCTAAACCTACATTTTCCTATAGGATACGCTCAGTAGTTTATTAGCAGCTAGACCTACATTTTCCTTTATATATACGCTCACTAGTTTATTAGCAGCTAAACTTACATTTTCCTATCGGATACGCTCAATAGTTTATTAGGAGCTAAACATACATTTTCCTATAGGTACGCTCAGTAGTTTATTAGCAGCTAAACATACATTTTTCTATAGGATAGGCTCAGTAGTTTATTAGCAGCTAAACATACATTTTCCTATAGGATACGCTCAATAGTTTATTAGCAGCTAAACCTACATTTTCCTATAGAATAGGCTTAGTAGTTTATTAGCAACTAAACATACATTTTCTTATATATATACGCTCAATAGTTTATTAGCAGCTAAACCTACATTTTCCCATAGGATATGCTCAGTAGTTTATTAGCAGCTAAACATACATTTTCCTATAGGTACGCTCAGTAGTTTATTAGCAGCTAAACATACATTTTCCTCTATATATACGCTCAGTAGTTTATTAGCAGCCAAACATACATTTTCCTATATATATATACGCTCAGTAGTATATTGCTAAACATACATTTTCCTATAGTAGCTTAGTAGTTTATTATTATTGGAAAAATAATAAAATGTAGAAAATTTTCATTTAAAAATAATTCATAAAAGTTCGGTTGATTAAGAATTTTACCTTTCGCTCGGTACACTCGCACTCTAGTATGCCGGGTCCATTAGCGCCTGATCCAATCAGGGTTCAGCCATGTGTTTGGTGTCTATTATGAACCAATAGAAATTGCTTGGCGGTAAAATCTATCTTTCTTTCTAGCTATCCAATTAGAGATGAATCTTTAAATCGGCGCTATAACAGTAAATGGAAATATTTACTTCTACTGAAACTATAGTGCTCGACCCATGTACACCATATTGAAAATATAAAATTCTCTTTTTTGAATAATAATTTAGGTTGAATTTATTTATTTTTATTCTAAGGATTATTCGAAGATGTTGAACTAGATTCTAATAATGTAAAGGTAAGAAATCAGAACCTGTCAAAACATTTTTATTTCGAGGAATAAAAGTCACATAAAAAATGCATCCGAATGCATTTTTATTATTATATTGCAGAAAATTGCTTTATGTTTTTATTTTTCTTTCTAAATGTTCTATATTATAGAAAATACTGGTTTAAGTTTACAAAAGAAATAAAATTTCAATGGAAAGACAAAATGTTATATCAAGATCTATTATCCCCCTACACACTACAGAATTTAGATTTTTAGCTTGAAAAGTTAAAATAGACATTTAGATTTTTAATGAAAGTCAATATTTTTGATACGAATATACTTTACACCAAAGGCCGAATTTAAAGAATTTGAGCCGCGGCTTAAATTTAAGCCTGTGTTCAAATATGATTGGTTTCACTTACAATTGTAATCAATTTTTCAATATTTAAGCCGGCGCTCAATTGAAACCGGTTTTTGGAGGATTTGAGACGCGGCTTAAATTCATTAAATTCGAACATTGAATGTTGTTTGTTACGTGACTATTAAGTAATATTAAAGAGACTGTAAGCGTACTTTCAAGTGACCCTCCAGGCAAAGATTACAATGTCCGATTTACAACGGTACCCTAAAACCTTTATATCTAAAAAAGTGCACGCTTTCAGTCCCTTAAATACAGTTGGGAAAAAAATCGAAATTTAGAAGAAAAAATAATTGGGGAAAAAATATCATGATTTATCCCTCGACACAGAAACTGATCCTTTGCCAAAACATCTAATCATTTAATCCCCATATCTTTGCAAACTCATGGTGCAAATCTTTAATTTTTTCAACTTTGACTATTTGATATTGCAGAATTTTTTGTTTGAAATATCTAAGGTCTACGAAATAAAATTGCAAAGATAAAGGATTAGAAAATTAACTTTCGAGACGAGGACTGAATTCCTTAGACATACATAAATGTTTAAATCGTTAAATGAAAAAGAAATTCTGGAACCAAATTTTATGCATAGCTTGAAGTAGCTGAACTAGGTTCAAACATTTCTCGAAATACGAATTAAACGTAATTAAACTACCTCTCTTTATTTATTAATTTTGGTTTTAGAATTATTTTATAGTTTTAAATTATGTTTATTTTACTGTTCAGGAGAAAGAGGCCAAAGTTTTATATTTAAGTAAAATAATTGACTGTCTCTCCTTAGCTACAGATACAAACCTACAGGTCATTTTTACGAACCTTTTCCTTAAAAAGAATCCTAGGAGCGCAATATGTCATCAGAAAATCTTCAATTTATAAATTCTGCATAAAAAATCCGTATTTGATTTCTTTAACTTAAAATATGTTTAAACCAGAAACTCTAGAATATGAAGACGACTTGTACACTGAAGTTGTGATTTTAAATTGTCCAATGAACATAACACACAGCAGTTGTGCAGTCAAAACTATTTATGCTAAATAAATGATTTGTAAGTTGTAACTAGTAAAACTATTTGCTTAATTTAACAACATAAAATATATTTAAGTATCGTTTTCATATTCCAGAGATTTTTGGTTCTCACTGTATAAGATGTACAAAAAATTAACATATATTTAATCTTTTTCAGTTAAAGAGTATCCATGATAAATCCATATATTACATACAGGATTACCCAAAAAAGATGAGACTTTAAAGATTTCTAGGTTCTGCATTGAATGTCGTCTTTTAACGGATTATTTAATGCATTGGCAAAGAGCGAAACCTGTTTACAGTTGCAGGGAGTCTGGATCTTCAGGAAACACACACTAGACAGTGTACATTCCGTAAAATTGTCTGTATATCTCTGAAGTCTCATCCTTTGTGGATAACCCTGTATATCTAGGCTAAACCTGGAAAGATAGTAAGCGGCCAGGAACCTGAGAAAACCAACCAGTTACTCCAAGCTCTTGCCAACGTCATTGAAAATAAGGTTTTTTCTCTCTCGGAAATATTTTATTATAAATTAATCATGATATCAAAGTGGCAGCAAAAATATTAATGGCGAGGGGGGGCTAATGACTGCATTTGGTATATATTTAGTTCTCCGAAGAGGGGGCCCCCCCCCCCAGAAACTTATTTTATGTCGTCACGAATTTTCTAAATTTTTTGTAATCAACATTTATCTTTGCTATTTAAATTTAATCTTTTTAGATTGACACAACTGATGCTGTTGCTCGGGTTAAAAATGGAGAAAAGCCGGATTTAAAAAAGAAGCCTGCGAAAAAGAAAGAAATTGAAACAAAGACGACAAAAAAGACTCCTGACAAGAAAAACCGCGAAAATAAGGAAAATCGTGAAAATAATCGACGCAGTTCTGGGAAGCCTACAAGTAAAACTGGAGCTAAAGAGAGTCCTAAAAAACCTAAACCTAAATCCCCGTCTCCTGAACCGGAGCCAGAACAGGTAAATGTTACAACTTACAAGAACTGAGGCGGGTTATTTTGAAGAATAATATTAAACATCTCACTTTAATCTCCAATGATATAACTCAAACCTTAATGATCTATATAGATAAAGTAGTAATCTCTGTTAGTTTGTCCGATCATTACTTATAAACCCCTTGACCGATTTGCTTCAAGTCTTTTGGGAAACTTGGTAGAACCAAGGAGGGTTCTTAGCTTGGGTTAAAAATTCTAAGCTGAGTGAATTTACTTTTAAAGAGAAAGTTTAGTTTCCCCGGCAAAGGTGGGTTCTCAAGCCATATAGTTTCACAGTAGAAGCCTGGGAACCCAGCTTTGTCTAGAAACCGAACTTTCACTATAAAAGTAAAAACCATTCAACCTAAGCTCTTAAACCGAGCTAAGAATATTTCCATGTATGCCGAGTTCATTAGCGCCTGATCCAATCAGGGTTCAGTCATGTGTTTGTTGTCTATTCTGAACCAATAGAAATAGTGTGGGGGTTACATCTATCTTTCTATCTATCTCATCATCCAATTAGAGTTATGAATCCTTCAATCGGCGCTATCAGTAAATGGAAGTATTTACTTCTACTGAAACTATAGTGACCAAGCTCCCCAATAGTTACAAATTTGAGGCAAATCCGTGAAGGGGTGTAAGCGTTATGATCGGACATACAAACAAACAAACAGAGATATCCACTAGGCATAACAAATTCTAACATTTGACATTTGACATTTTTTAAAACATACCTTTGATGTAGATTTGGAATAGGGCATACACAAGATAATATCAGTATTTAAAATAATTAGATAGAATTCAAAGTCGAATGAAGTAAATTTATTCTCAACGAAATTTCTATTAAAACACTTCATCAAAAACTTTTTATTAGAAGATTTTATAAAATTTATAATTGATATCATATTACAGGCCCCGGATTCACTAATAAACGATGAGCCTGAACCCCCTCCTCTTGACATGGAGCCGGAAGAGGAACCACCATCCCTCCCTCCCGCACCAGTTGAAATGGATCTGCCCTCCTTTCCTCCGTTGATAAATGGCGAGGAGGAGATGGTTAGTTCTGCAGAACTGCATGAGGAACAGAACGGGTAATAATTCGGGGACAGGAATATAGGGGAGGAAGAAAAGAGGAGAAAGGGGAGAAAGGGAAGAAGGGGAGATGGGGAGAAAGGGCAGAAGGGAAAAGGGGAGATGGGTAGAAGGGGAGAAAGGGGAGAAGGGTAGAAGGGGAGAAAGGGTAGAAGGGGAGAAGGGGTGATGGATGAATGAGAAAAGAAACGCTTGGGAGAATGGAAAAAGATTATGAGAGATTATTGGGAGGAGAGAAAAGGGTTACGAGATATGATTGGAAGGGGAGAAGGGTTAAAGAAAATATAGGAAGGTAAAAAAAGGATTAAAGAGAGAAGATATTTTTCAGAAGATGGGGAGGGAAGAAGGGGTAATGAGATATTACTAGAAGGAAAAAAGGGGGTTATGAGAGAATATTGGAAGGGGAGAATATGATGGAAGGAAGAGGGTTATGAGGGAAGAAAGGGAGGGAAAAAGAGAAGATTGGAGGGAAGAAGAAGGGGTATTGAGAGTATATATATAAAAGTATATATATATATACATATATAAAAAAGTATATATATACGTATCATCAGAATATTTTCTTTAATTCTTTTTCAAAGAATAGTTCCCATCACACATGTTTTCCTGTACATTTTAAATTTATTCTCATTTAATTCCCTGCTTCCCCCCCCCCCTCAATCTATAACTCTCAATACCCCTTCTTCTTTCCTCCAATCTTCATATATACATATAAATATATATATAAATATATAAAGTTTAAAGCGAATATTTGTGCTACAGAATGCTTTTATCTCGCTTAATAAATTGAAATATCAGAGTACACTCTACACTCTACACTCACACACAAACATTATTGTTTTCTGTTAAAGTCAGAGTAAATTACAAAACCTTTCAGGGGATATTTTACTCCAGGTCCAATTTCCAACTGGATTACATATTGTCCTTTATTTCCTTTACTCTATTTCCAGTCCGGAGAAATTGATAGTTGTCATTTATCAGTTTCCTTTCTTGCTTCCTCAACTCAAAGAAAACGATCTTTTTTTTATTTTTTTTTTATATTCAAACTAAAGTTAGATAAAGTGAGACTTAAATAAGCTAAATTCAAATTGAACCGAAGCTGAATACAAATTGAACCTGAGCTAAATACAAACTGAACCTGAGCTAAATAAAAACTGAACCGAAGCTGAATACAAACTGAACCTTAGCTAAATACAAACTGAACCTAAGCTGAATACAAACTATACCTAAGCTGAATACAAACTAAACCTGAGCTGAATTCAAACTGAACCTAAGCTGAATTCAAACTGAACCAGACCTGAATTCAAACTGAACCTGAGCTGAATACAAACTAAACCTGAGATAAATACAAAATTGAACCTAAGCTGAATACAAACTGAACCTGAGATAAATACAAACTGAACCTGAGCTGAATACAAACTGAACCTGAGCTGAATTCAAACTGAACCTAAGCTAAATACAAACTTAACCTGAACTGAATTCAAACTGAACCTAAGCTAAATACAAACTGAACTGAGCTAAATTCCAGTTGAACCTGAGCTGAATTCAAACTAAACCTGAGCTAAATTCAAACTGAACCTGAGCTAAATACAAACAGAACCTGAGCTAAACTCAAACTGAACCAGAGCTAAATGCAAACTGAACCTGAGCTAAATACAAACTGAACCTGAGTTAAATACAAACTGAACCTAAGCTGAATACAAACTGAACCTGAGCTAAATACAAACTGAACCTGAGCTAAATACGGACTGAACCTGAGTTAAATACAAACTGAACCTAAGCTGAATACAAACTGAACCTGAGCTGAATACAAACTGAACCTGAGCTAAAGGCAAACTGAGCCTAAGAAAATACAAACTGAACCTAAGCTACAAACTGAACCTGAGTTGAATTCAAACTTAACCTAAGCTGAATTCAAACAGAACCTGAGCTGAATTCAAACTGAAACAGAGCTGAGTTCAAACTGAACCTAATGATTTCAAATTTAACATGATCTGAATTTAAACTGAACCTTTAAAGAGACCCTTTATTTAAAGAGAGAGGGGTATGCCCAAATCACAACGGTACCCTGTATTCACACCTTTTGCGGATGAAAAGTTTGTTATATTTTGTAAGTGTTTAATTCAGACAATTTCTAATTCTAATTTCTAATTTCTAATCGTTCCTAAAACTAAAAAAACACAGGTCAATGTAAAGAGAAGCCACAACAATATTAAGGGTATCTTTGTGAATTGATCAAGCACCCTAATTAATGGAGAATCATATAAAACATGTTTATTCGTGTTCCTTCTCAAGTTGAATTAATATCCAACCTGAGTAAACCCATAATCCAATATTTGTCGGGGTTTGAACCAGAAAAAATGAAAAGAAAGAACTAGCCGAATTAGGTACAGATATTTGAACTAAAGTGCAACAGAGAAACGTAGTTCAACCAGCAATACATACTTCCACATACCACTCGACATTCATTAATTGAAACCTCCTCTGTCTTTATTCCATTTATCCAATATATTCCTAATTATCATTATCTAAATAATTATCTTAGTTTTTCCTTAATGAATAATGGTATTTGTTTTGTGAAAACAAAGTAGGTATAATCTTCATCACATGTAGGCTAGAGATTGCATAAATAATTAAAAACAATTATATATTTATTACATTACAGTACACGTTATAGTACAGGGTTAAATGCAAGGATGAGGCTTCAGAGACGATTGTAGGGAATTCATACTGTCTGTTTCCTTTTATTCATGATCCTCTGCAACTTTAAACTTGTTGATTCCTTAGCAGAAAAAATAAATAAACCATTGCAAGACTGTATTCAAGGCCTTAGTCTTAATTAACCTTGGGATCGTCAGATTTGAAGAGATTAAGGTCGTCTTTACAGTCTCATTCTTTATGGATAACCCTGGGTAAAATCATTTGGACGAATTTACAGTATTATACAGAAATATAAGTCAAAAAAGCAAAAAATCTAAAGGAATTTATTGGTTTCTTCTTTTTCGTGTTCCGCTTTATCTTTAATATTATTTAAGTCCTGAGTCTCCTGAATCCGCTCCTCCCAGAAGAGTAATGAGTTCACGCCCCCAGACTGTTAAGGATCGGAAGAAGAGCATTATACCTACCGACCTGGAGTCAGATAAACCAAACCCAGAGGTATAGATTCATGGATATTCAGGGATATATACTGAAATATCCAGATATAGGGATGGAACAAGTAAACTGGATACTGGGATATTTCAGGGGTCGGGATATAATACTTGAAATATTTCAAATTAAAGAATGAAAAGACAATTTAACAAATGAAGATTTTAAAGCTTCTGTAACTTTCATTTACAATTTACATGAATATTTCTTACACGAACTTCAAGTTTGTATTTATTTGGAAAGTTTTAAAATTGGATTTAGTTAATCTTAGGGTATTTGAAAACTGTATCAGCGGTTGACAGATAGAGCTCTCATCTAGTCTTCCCCCCCCCCTCTCCTTGCCTTTGCTGGAACATTAAATGTTTTTTTGTAAAACCGGTAACAGTCCCGAANCCCCTCCATGTTCAAACCGCATATAGGAAAAGTCTCTATAATGTTAAAAAGTATTTATTTAGATTTAAATGGTAGGAAAAAGATAGAATAAAGCGCCTACAATACCCTAACACAAGGGTTCCTTTCGTTTACTTGATATTATGGAGTCTTTTGCATTTTTCAAGAAAGTTTGCAAATTTGCTTGGATTTTAAATTATTTGTTAGTAATTTTACTGCATCAATATTTCATTCTATATTTGACAATTAAATTAATTTTTAAATCAACGGAATTCCTAGTTTGAAATATCTAAGGTCTACGACATTGGACTTCAAAAATATAGGAATTAGGAATCAGAGTTTGTGGCAAAGTCTCATTTCCTTTCTTGTTTCATTTCTCACAGCAAATTTTATTGTTTACACAATTCCAATTAAAAAGTAAATATTTCCAGGTATTGGGTCAGATGGAAGACGATGATCCTATTCGTCCTAGTACAGCTATGAGGGCTGGGTCAGCTCGCCCTAGAACAGGTCGGTGTCTCGTTAAAATGTGTCCTCGACTTTTTTAGAATTTTTATACAACCTTTTTTATTTTGATAAACAAGTAATAAATAGAAGTAACAAGTATAAGAAAAGTTATTTCACAACTATGTTAACTATATTTTTAGAAAAATTCAAATTAAAAGCTTTTATCTTTCCATCTTTTCAGCTAAAACAGGTTTCTTTTGACTTCCATGATTCAGAACAAAACGGGATAGAACATTTTTCTATACCTACTTTGATTATTTTTCAAAAATTAATTTGAAAAAGTTAAAGAAACGATTAAGCGATAGGTTGTCAAAAATCATACAAATTAGAAATATGTTTCAAAATGCCTTTTCTTTTTTACACACTTAAAATGTTTAATTTTTCAATACTAAAATCTTTTTCTAGTTTAAGTAGTAAATTTATCGTCGAAAAAATAGAACAATCCACCACTAATTAAGTGAAATGTAAAAATGTGACGTTATTTAAAACTTTTATATATTTTTTGGAGGTTTTTAAATATTTTGTTCCTCAAAAACAGTTTTGTATTTTTTGTATAATTTATTTATAAATTACTTGCTTACTAGTTTACTATTTACTCATCTATAAATGGTTTTAAGGAAACCCAGCTCTGCCTGGAAACTAAGTTTAAGTTAAACCTTCTCAACTTAGAATTTTTAAACCAATTTAACTGAAAATATTCCCATGGTTCCCCAATTAAAACTATATGTAAATCAGTCAAGGGGTTCAAGACTTAAGGACATACGGGGTGTCCCACGAAACATGACAGTTGGTGAATAGTTTAAAATGTTTTCTTCCATAATATGTCAAGTTGTTTGACACCAAAGAGAATAATGATAAATATTTTATGGCATCCATATTTTAGTAAAATGGATTTCTAAGTAAAATATATTTGAGTATTTTTTAAACTAAATAAACTGTAGCAAGTCTTTAATATCTAATACAGTATATGGAAGAAGACATTCAAAACTATTCACCAACTGTCATGTTTCGTGGGACACCCTGTATATAACCAAACAGACAAACAGAGATTACAACTTATATTTAAATAGATTACAGATTACTCACTCACTCATTTACTTTTTTTATACAGATTTATTGTAAAATATCTTTATTATTATTGTTTGCACAGGAAGAGCCCGACCTCCCAGTGCAAGACCTGCTCCTCCAAAAATACGGTATTCATCTTAAATTAAATTGAAAAAATTCCACTTTGTTAAAGTTTTAGCAAAAAAAGAAGAAACTTGAATTGTTGTAAGGAAAACTTTGAAAAATAAAAGTTTTCAAAAGAATTGAAAATTCAACGAAAATAAACTTAATTTTGAGATAATTGAGCTTGAAATAAAACATCGAAAGAACTCTTATATAAATGTGCTAAGAAAAGATAATTTTAATTTTGATTTAAAATTTTACTTTTTAATTTTGAAGTGAAAGGAAGGAGGTGGCTGAAGAACCTAGACCAGCAACTGCTAAGGAATCCAAACCAAACATTAATTAAACATGTTGCAACAATAATAATAATTCTAAAAACCAAACCAAAAATTAATTAAACATGTTGCAACAATAATATCAATTATAAATTACAAACCAAACATTAATAAAACATATTGCAACTAAATAATTGAAATAATATAATAAAAATCAAAACCATGGTAAAATCAAAAATATTGCAACCATAGATAAATCAAAACAACAGGTAGGACTCTAAATGTCGTCTTTTTAAGATTTATGTGTTTTTCGTTCACAATAACCCTGGCTTGAGGCAGAAGCCCAAAGAAGTTACGCTTAGTCGGCGAAGAACAGGCTCTCTCTCTTTAGAATTTCAAGACAGAGAGAGAGCCTGTTCTACGCTGACTACGCGTAACTCCTTTGGGCTTTTGCCTCAGGGTTATTGTGAACGAAAAACACATAAACCTTGAAAAGACAACATCTATTATAGGGTCCTATTTGTTATTTTACCTAAGCTATGGTTGCAACAATGATATTAATTTTCAAATCAAAAACAAACATTAATTAAACAAATTGCAACAACATTTTAATTCTCAAATCTGTACAACTATTTTTTACACATGTTATGTTGTTGGAACAAGTTGAAAACAACAATCATTTTTCTTAAATCCCAACCAAACATTTCAGTGTATATATTAAATATATTTTACTTTCATTCCACAAAATTTTATCATTGCAAGTTTCTGAATAGAATAGTAGAGACCGAGGAATGTGTTGTTTTGTCATTGTTTACATTTTAGGAATATTCAATTCTTTTCAAATTGTAAAAAGATTAGGGTTTCAACTTTATTTAACACTCTTAGAATTCTAAATAAGCACACTGCTACAAATATCAAAACGTTCAAACAAAACAAGTTTGATGAATTGCCCCAACAACAAACTATTCCAGGGGGAATTAGTTCCAAACCAAACCGAGTTCATGGCCTAGATCTGAACACGGAGTGTCGGGTCTGGGCCAAATGGCGGGTTGGGACTAATGCCTCCTGTATTCTGCAAAGCTTTTAAAACAATCTGTTGGTTTTCTTTAGCCTGTAGCGAACCTGATCCTAGACACTGAAGCAGATGATGATGATGCTGATGAATTCCTTATAGAAGAAGCTCCTAAAGATCCTCTTGTATCTCTGGATTCAGATCCTTTAGCAGAGGTAAATAGACATATTTACTTCTCGAATTCGAACAAAACAGGCCTCTTGTACTGGTCTTAGCTAACGACGTGCGGCATGTACCAGCCCGTGAGATAAGAGAGTTACAGAGATTGATTAACACCTAATATGGGATATTTTCCACAGCATGTTCTATTGTGTACAAGTACTGTACACGACCAATCAGGAGAGATCTGTATTCAGGGATATTTAAGGATCCTTTGAATAGGAAATGCAAAATCTTTAAAAAAAGACAATATTCATAAACTTTATGTTCTAAGTTTAAAATTGGAGTATTTCTTTAAAAGTTGTAAAACTTTTACCCCTGAATGCAACAAGTGTCAGTCAAAAAACATTACATGGAACCGTAGCATGGCGTGCCGGGACACTATAGGCATGCTCATTGCTCAGCCTATCCAGGTAGAGTGTATGCGCAGTCTGTGTAGTCTGCAGTAACTTATCCTATGTAGGCCCGGTTTTAACTTTGATCACTCGGCCAGAATTTTTACAGTATCTTAGGCCTATTTTACCTTCCCCACTAGCTTAGTTTAGTGTGGGGGTCATGTTGATTTAACAGTTTGGTCCCCAAGCCGTGACTTATAATCCAAATTTGACCTATGAAACATAACATTTTGGGCTTTTTCTTTCATACTTTTTTTGTTGGCGGATGAGTTTTTATATTTAATATTGCAAGGGTCGAGTAGAATGCAGCAAACCACAATTCAGCCCAAGGATATAATGCAAGGAAAGTTATTTCAGAAGTGTACGCATCTTTTGTACTGCAGTGTACAGTCTCTTGGCGGTAATGTAAACCCTAGACGGATGTCGAAGCCTGACATGGGATCCATCTTTCACATAAATAATCTATGAAATATTCTGGTCATAGGAAACTATTATGTGAATTATCAAAATTATCAAAATTAAATGCTTTTATCCTCCTCGGATACTAGAGTAACACTGATGTATCTATTCTTGTTTACAAATTCCGCCCAGAGAGAACTGGTTTCAATATGTACGCAGAGTATACGCAACTGCAATTAACTTTCCTTGCATTAGTACCTTGATTCAGCACAAAAAGGTAAGTTCTGAGTCAGTATCCTGGTTTGTGAGTGGAAGGTTGGTTTCATCAACAGTTGAATGGGAAGATGGCTGTATATACATATTTTTATGATTTTAAAGAGTGTACTAAACATAAAACAATTCACTTAATAACTTTATTTTCAAGCTACTGGTAAAAACTCTTTAGAATACCATCAAATACAGATTTTCATTCCACAGTTTTATGGGTCTCAGTGTGGTATCCCTAAATGAACAAAGTTTCAAACTTGTTAACGAGAGTATACTGTAAACATTATACAATACACTCTCATTTAACATCGATTTTCGATGTTCTTTATTTTAATTAATCTTGTCTAGTAAAACTATTTGAATTAATCTTGTCTAGTAATACTATTTTAATTAATCTTGTCTAGTAATACTATTTTAATTAATCTTGTCTAGTAATACTATTTGAATTTAAAATTATAAACAGTGGGGCAATCATTTAAAATTTAGAGGCTTGTTAATGATGTGTCAAGGCTATTGTGCTTAAAATTTAAATTTAAATATAAATACAGAGACATATCCTATAGTCTAGTGTTTAACCAAGCAGTTAACTCCAGTTTAGTTTCAAGGCTCTAAAAAAGGTAAAACTGTGTAACCTCGTAAATCTATTATTTTTCATTTTACGTCCAAGTACAAAAAAGCTAATTTTTACGTTGCATATTAAAAATTCAAAACTTTTTTATTCTTAAATACTTCTTAACATAGCTGTTCGGAAAATGACTCTATTATTGACAACCTGTAGAATATCAATCTTAATGGGTATATGCTGTACATACTATGGTACCATAATTTACCAGTATCTGCTGTACAGTCTAAGGTACCCTATTGTACAGATATCTGCTGTACAGTTTAGTGTATCCTATTGTACAGGTATCATTTGTTCAGTCTAGTGTATCCTACTGTACAGATATCTGCTGTACACTCTAATGTATCCTACTGTACAGGCATCTACTGTACAGTCTAGTGTATCCTACTATACAGGTATCTGCTTTACACTCTAGTGTATCCTACTATACAGGTATCTGCTGTACAGTCTAGTGGAGAAGAGCACGGAGTACTGGTACAGCAGATTCTAGAAACACAGAAAGAACTCCAGGACGGGAATAAAACACAGAAAGGAGTGGAGATTGTAAGTAATATACTAAACATTGATGAACAAATACACAGACTTAGCAGAAGTTGATTATTTGAAACCTAGCACGAGCCAAAAAAAAATCCAATGTTCTGATGGCGTAAACCTTTTTATTTCATAGTTTGAAAAATCTAAAGGTCTACAACACCAAGTTTCAAAGATCAGGGATTAGAAAATTATAATTTTTGGGTGTTTAGCTTCTATTTGAACATAAATACTTCTTGTCCAAAAGAAAGACTTGTATGTTATGTACAGTGTAAAAACTGGCCAGCTAGGTTCATGTTCTTGTACAATTCTACAATGTACAAGTGACCTTCACAAATGTTGTTGAATCTGTTTTTTAGTCATCTGTGTTACAAAGTTTCTAATGTGTAAATGAAAAGAAAATTAAGATAATGGTTTTTTCCTGTTTAATTAAAACTCTGGATATAGGATTCATTCTAGAGTTGAAATTAAAAATAAAGTTTATAATAAAGCTTCTCAGATTTTGAGGAAAATATCAAGTATTAAGTAGGCTTAAATGTATCTGTTTCTGGATTTGTCACTGTATCCGTATCTGTAACTGTATCTCTGTACAGGAGCGGGATGAAGGAGTAGGAGAAGCAGGACGGATCCGGGATAGAGCTGGTACCCAGAGAGAAGTGGATAAACTCCGAACCTCAATACAAACACTAACCAGGTAAGAAATATTTATTTCTGTAGAAATATTTTCATGAATTTATTATAACAAATTGCTGTTGCTTTCTTGTCTGAATAAGTATAATTTGATGGAGCGAAATAATATACAAATCTGTATACATTATACATAGATAAATCCATTATTTATTTTCGTACATTTTAATCCTTTTTAACAATAAGGTTAGATACGTATATGCGCGTAGAGATTGCACTATTCACAGGCATCCCTAAAATAAGAATGAGTATGTATTTTATTCTTCAGGTCTGCCAATCCACTGGGTAAACTGATGGATTTCCTGCAAGAGGACGTAGATAGTATGCAGAGGGAGCTCGACACATGGACACAGGAGAATAAACAACTACAACTACAGCTCCGGTAGGTTTAGTGGATACAGATACAGCTCCGTTAGGTTTAGTAGATACAGATACAGTTCCGTTAGGTTTAGTAGATACAGATACAGCTTCGGCAGGTTTAGTAGATACAACTACAGCTCCGGTAGGTTTAGTAGATACAGATACAGCTCCAGTAGGTTTAGTATATACAGATACAGCTTCGGTAGGTTTAGTAGATACAGATACAGTTCCGTTAGGTTTAGTAGATACAGATACAACTCCGGTAGGTTTAGTAGATACAGATACAGCTCTGGTAGGTTCAGTAGATACAGATACAGTTCCGATAGGTTTAGTAGATACAGATACAGCTCCGGTAGGTTTAGTAGATACAACTTCAGCTCAGGTAGGTTTAGTAGATACAACTACAGCTCTGGTAGGTTTAGTAGATACAGATACAGCTTCGGTAGGTTTAGGAGATACAGATACAGCTCTGTTAGGTTTAATAGATACAACTACAGCTCCGGTAGGTTTAGGAGATACAGATTATACAGCTCTGGTAGGTTTAGTAAATACAGATACAGCTTCGGTAGGTTTAGTAGATACGGATACAGTTCCGGTAGGTTTAGTAGATGCAGATACAGCTCTGATAGGTTCAGTAGATACAGATAAAGCTCCGGTAGGTTTAGTGGATACAGATACTGCTCAGGTAGTTTTAGTAGATGCAGATACAGCTCTGGTAGGTTCAGTAGATACAGATACAGCTTAGGTAGGTTTAGTAGATACAGATACAGCTCCGTTAGGTTTAGTGGATACAAATAGGTTAACAGGATACCGATAAAGTTCGGAAGGTTTGAATAATTCAGACTTTAAACCTTGCTAAATTAGCTCGGCCACCACATTCCTTTAATCTGATATATTCTTGAAATTAGAATTAATATCCTTCAAAGGAAAATTCTACATACTGCATTAAAGAATTAATACTAAGAACCGAAAAAAATTTAAAAATTCCTAATTCCTACCCTGTATATTAACGAACCTCCTACAGATTTATTTTTAACCTGCCGAGATTGTCGAATATTTGCACCGTTAATTTTTAAAAAACGTCTTCTTTTACAATCCCTTTAATGTAACTATAGTTTTGTTTGTATACGGTTTAATTATGAAGTTTCCTCTTGTAGAAGATTAGATAATATCATGTTTATAATGTTTAGACATGAAGAGAAATTAACCCAGGAAACTTTACAACCTCTCAACCAACATCTTAATGAACTATTCTCAGCGGTACAGGATCAGGTACAGCAAGTACACACAGTACAGGACCAGGTACAGTACAGGACCAGGTACAGTACGGTACACACAGTGCAGGACCAGATACAGTACGGAACACACAGTGCAGAACCAGGAACAGTACGGTACACATAATAAAGAACCAGCTACAGTACAATACACACACTACAGGACCAGGTACAGTACGGTACACATAGTGCAGGACCAGGTATACAATACAGTACACACAGTTCAGGACCAGGTACAGTACAGGACCAGGTACAGTACAATACACACAGTACAGGACCAGGTATAGTACGGTACACACAGTTCAGGACCAGGTACAGTACAGTACACACAGTTCAGGACCAGATAAAGTACAGTACACACCGTTCAGGAACAGGTACAGTACAGTACACACCGTTCAGGACCAGGTACCGCACGGTATACACAGTACAGGACCAGGTACAGTACATTACACGCAGTACATAATCAGGTACGGTACACTACACACCGTACAAGACCAGGAATAATACATTACACACAATAAAAGACCAGGTTCAGTATAGTACACATAGTAAAGGACCAGGTAAAGTAAAGTACACACAGTACAAAACCAGGTACAGTACACATAGTACATGACCAGTTACAGTACAGTACACACAGTGCAGGACCAGGTACAGTTCAGTACATATAGATCAGGACAAGACCAGGTACAGTACACATAGTACATGACCAGGTACAGTACAGTACACACAGTACAGGACCAGGTACAGTACAGTACAAACAGTACAGGACCAAGTACAATTCAGTACATATAGATCAGGACAAGATACAGTACAGTACACACAGTACATGACCAGTTACAGTACAGTACACATAGTAGAGGACCAGGTACAGTAAAGTACACACGTACAGGACCAGGTACAGTACAGTATACACAATACACGACCAGGTACAGTACATTAAATACAGTACAGGACCAGGTGCAGTACAGTACACAAAGTAAGACTGGGTACAAAACAGTAGAGACATGTATACAAAATTTGCCCTTAGCAGTACGTGTAGTTTATTTCGTACATAATATACCTCCAGGACGGGAATAAAACACAGAAAGGAGTGGAGATTGTAAGTAATATACTAAACATTGATGAACAAATACACCCAGTTACTCCAAGCTCTTGCCAACGTCATTGAAAATAAGGTTTTTTCTCTCTCGGAAATATTTTATTATAAATTAATCATGATATCAAAGTGGCAGCAAAAATATTAATGGCGAGGGGGGGCTAATGACTGCATTTGGTATATATTTAGTTCTCCGAAGAGGGGGCCCCCCCCCCCAGAAACTTATTTTATGTCGTCACGAATTTTCTAAATTTTTTGTAATCAACATTTATCTTTGCTATTTAAATTTAATCTTTTTAGATTGACACAACTGATGCTGTTGCTCGGGTTAAAAATGGAGAAAAGCCGGATTTAAAAAAGAAGCCTGCGAAAAAGAAAGAAATTGAAACAAAGACGACAAAAAAGACTCCTGACAAGAAAAACCGCGAAAATAAGGAAAATCGTGAAAATAATCGACGCAGTTCTGGGAAGCCTACAAGTAAAACTGGAGCTAAAGAGAGTCCTAAAAAACCTAAACCTAAATCCCCGTCTCCTGAACCGGAGCCAGAACAGGTAAATGTTACAACTTACAAGAACTGAGGCGGGTTATTTTGAAGAATAATATTAAACATCTCACTTTAATCTCCAATGATATAACTCAAACCTTAATGATCTATATAGATAAAGTAGTAATCTCTGTTAGTTTGTCCGATCATTACTTATAAACCCCTTGACCGATTTGCTTCAAGTCTTTTGGGAAACTTGGTAGAACCAAGGAGGGTTCTTAGCTTGGGTTAAAAATTCTAAGCTGAGTGAATTTACTTTTAAAGAGAAAGTTTAGTTTCCCCGGCAAAGGTGGGTTCTCAAGCCATATAGTTTCACAGTAGAAGCCTGGGAACCCAGCTTTGTCTAGAAACCGAACTTTCACTATAAAAGTAAAAACCATTCAACCTAAGCTCTTAAACCGAGCTAAGAATATTTCCATGTATGCCGAGTTCATTAGCGCCTGATCCAATCAGGGTTCAGTCATGTGTTTGTTGTCTATTCTGAACCAATAGAAATAGTGTGGGGGTTACATCTATCTTTCTATCTATCTCATCATCCAATTAGAGTTATGAATCCTTCAATCGGCGCTATCAGTAAATGGAAGTATTTACTTCTACTGAAACTATAGTGACCAAGCTCCCCAATAGTTACAAATTTGAGGCAAATCCGTGAAGGGGTGTAAGCGTTATGATCGGACATACAAACAAACAAACAGAGATATCCACTAGGCATAACAAATTCTAACATTTGACATTTGACATTTTTTAAAACATACCTTTGATGTAGATTTGGAATAGGGCATACACAAGATAATATCAGTATTTAAAATAATTAGATAGAATTCAAAGTCGAATGAAGTAAATTTATTCTCAACGAAATTTCTATTAAAACACTTCATCAAAAACTTTTTATTAGAAGATTTTATAAAATTTATAATTGATATCATATTACAGGCCCCGGATTCACTAATAAACGATGAGCCTGAACCCCCTCCTCTTGACATGGAGCCGGAAGAGGAACCACCATCCCTCCCTCCCGCACCAGTTGAAATGGATCTGCCCTCCTTTCCTCCGTTGATAAATGGCGAGGAGGAGATGGTTAGTTCTGCAGAACTGCATGAGGAACAGAACGGGTAATAATTCGGGGACAGGAATATAGGGGAGGAAGAAAAGAGGAGAAAGGGGAGAAAGGGAAGAAGGGGAGATGGGGAGAAAGGGCAGAAGGGAAAAGGGGAGATGGGTAGAAGGGGAGAAAGGGGAGAAGGGTAGAAGGGGAGAAAGGGTAGAAGGGGAGAAGGGGTGATGGATGAATGAGAAAAGAAACGCTTGGGAGAATGGAAAAAGATTATGAGAGATTATTGGGAGGAGAGAAAAGGGTTACGAGATATGATTGGAAGGGGAGAAGGGTTAAAGAAAATATAGGAAGGTAAAAAAAGGATTAAAGAGAGAAGATATTTTTCAGAAGATGGGGAGGGAAGAAGGGGTAATGAGATATTACTAGAAGGAAAAAAGGGGGTTATGAGAGAATATTGGAAGGGGAGAATATGATGGAAGGAAGAGGGTTATGAGGGAAGAAAGGGAGGGAAAAAGAGAAGATTGGAGGGAAGAAGAAGGGGTATTGAGAGTATATATATAAAAGTATATATATATATACATATATATAAAAGTATATATATACGTATCATCAGAATATTTTCTTTAATTCTTTTTCAAAGAATAGTTCCCATCACACATGTTTTCCTGAACCCGTATATAAGTTAGAAGATGAATATTTGTTTAGTTGGATAAGATCTCGGTGGTAAAATCTAACATCCTGAGGAACGAGGAGAAAATTGCCAAGATGATTTCTACAATCGGAGTTTCACAGAGATAATTCGTAGTTCCACATTCCGGATTTATAATGTGGATTATTCATTGCTGGATATTCCAATCCTGATTTAGAAGGTTTTACAAGAGCTGTAAACTTTTATATTGCTTGATTTCCTCTTTTTGTTAATCTTAAGATTATTTTTATCTTCAGTTTGATTCCAGGAAAATGCATAAAAATCAACCAATCAGAATGAATTATGCAGAACTCCGAACAGCCAATGAGAAGCCGTGATATTCGAAATTTTCCGCGCCATTTTATGAGAAGAATATTTTAGGTCGAAATCCGGCAGGGATATCCAAAAAGGGGGGAAAAGAGCGGAGTAAGTAGAAATCAAAAGTGTCCACAGTGGATGTTCAGATTAAGCGATCGGTATTTAGAGTATCCAATTCTAAAGTTTTCAGCTCAGATTTGTTTTAAAAAAACCTCCATAAAGGGAATTGAGTTTTGCCAATATTTATAATCTGTGTAATTCAATGTGCAGCAAAACTTGAAACTTATTTTTCTCACATACGGATTTATGATGAAAAAAAAGAAAAATTTTGTGAGGAAATTTAAAATTCTGAACAAAGAACATTTCTACCGTAAACACCACTTAGATCCATTGATAATTCTACTTCTAGTCACAGAGGTTTTAATTTCACAAATTCTTTTTAAATAAAAGTTGAATAGCTCTAATTTTTGATATTTTTTCTTTTTGAATTTCCCCCATTTTGGTTCAGATGAGGCATCATTAAACATAAATGATCATCATAAATGTTTACATTATATTTCTATACGTGAAGGTGTGTGTGTGTTGGGGGGGTGGGAAGGGTTAATTATGAATTTAAACAACTTTTCTAACCGATGTTTCTGTGGTTGAGCGCGCTCCTTGTTAAGTCAGATAGCACAGAGAGAAACCGGTTTTCCCCTGCACCCCATTATTCGTCAATTGCTCTGCAGAAACATCGGACAGAAATAAAACCAATTCCAATCGATTAACAATAGACCCAGTAGACCCAGTAGACCATTTTTAATTTTTTATTCCACCACTCCCTGGACTATATAATTAATTACTTGAAATATATGTATGAATATTTATTATATATTATGCAATGTTCTCTTAAAAAGTGATGATTAAACTACATAGTAATAATAATTATATCTACACCCTTCAAGGGTTATCAACATATATTTTGATTAAAGAAATATTTCATCATGTAAAATGTAAATATTGAATAAATGAATTGAAAGAATTTCTGATTAATTTTTCTATGATTATAGTCCCTAGTGTGCATTGTGATGGGAACCTTCCGAAAATATTTAAAATAATTCATCTAAAAGGACTGTCGTTGGAATTTCAAGTAATCCTTATCTTAGAGGGCTGGCTGAAAAAAAACTTTTCGAGCATCAAGAAAGTAAAAAGAATTGGTGATTAAATAAATGACAAAATGATTGTTGAAATTTCAAACTTTTTACCGAACTGTGAAAATATGAGATGGGTCCTACATGTAAAAATTTAAATTTACACAACGTTAATCAATGAAAATAAACATTGTATAAAATACACTGTAAATAGTTAGCAATACCAATGTACCATTGTTGACTTAAAAAGTCACTATAATAAAACAAAGATATCTGAAATGGATATTTCTAACATTTATTTTAAAAAAAACGAAAGTTTTGAAATGTTTGCCCATGGCTGAGTAAAATTGGTTGGTTAAAAATGGACAAAGAAAACTATTGACGAACATCAGTTGGAAGATATTTTTAGAACTTCATGATGGTGGTGCTGATCATCAGGAACTGGAACAACAGGTTTCCGCTCACCCCAGGCTTTGGATAAGGAGGGGGAGAGATCGCGGTCTTGTCAGTTTCGAATATGAGGGAATGCGTCTCAATGTTCGCCTGACAATTTTGGAACTCTTGGAACAGGGGAGAGATCGCGGTCTTATCAGTTTCGAATATGAGGGAAGGCGTCTCAATGTTCGCCTGATAATTTTGGAACTCTTGGAACAATATTGAGCTGGATGTAAGCATCGTCTGTTGATGGCTAGGTATCTGCATCATCACCATGAAGGAGCCAGGGTTGCTCCCTGAGACGGAGTTGTGATCATCTCTAGTGTTTCAAACTGACTGCCGGGCTGGGATGTGTAGAGGGGTGAGGAGGGATCGAAGGAGCGAGGGTAACATGTGGGCGCTTCATGGAGAAAATAGATACACACGTCTTGAGAATAGACTATGGCATCTGAGTCGGTAAAATCGTCTTCCTTATATTTCGAATTTGTGTTAACAACCATGTATTGCATTGTATGCGGAAGCAGTTTAAAAGTCAACTTTTCTCACTTGGAATGGTTTTGGTTGGATACAAAAATAAAATCTCGAAAAAGTACGGTTCATCTCGGAAGCTAAGATTAGGTGAAACTTGGTTTGATACATTTAAATTAATTATAGTCGAAATTATACAAGTGATAAGTTATAAATTGGTATGTATAATTCAATATGGTACCAGTAAAAGCTTTGTGCGGTCGTTAAAGGGACTACTGTAAAGAAAAAATGAAAGGGGGTATAGCCTGAAACCTAACCATTTTAGGAGTTGATCGAGACCCATAAGAGTTCTATCTGATGTTCCTGTACAGAAAAATTAATATAAAACTGTGTCAAATTTTTACGAAAATATATATATATATAAAATTTTGTATAAACATATAAATTTGACACAGTTTTATATTAATTTCTCGAGACAGGAACATCAGAGAGAACTCTTATGGGTCTCGATCAATTCCTAAAATGTTTGGGTTTCAGCCTAAATCCCCTTTCATTTTTCCTTTACAGTTCCTTTAACGAATGAAAAATTAATGTTTTTCTCTTCTAAAATTAATTATTTTCAATTGTGGGTTCTCTTCAAATATGACTTGCAGACACTATGAAGGAAATTATCAGAATTAATTACTTCTTAAGCTAGTGAAACAACGATATCTTCCACAGAATTGATCAAAAAAAGGTTAAAATTGCTACACTGTAGATTAGGCATATATCCCTTTTATAAGTGGAGAGATTTGAAATTATATCAATTGTCCTTTTAAGTGGAATAATGCACAAATGTATTTGCTGCAGTATTTGAGTCACGTCTATCTAAATAAGAAATTAGAACATCTTGGGGGCCGGGGGGGCGTGCATGGCCACAATTCGGGTTTAAATTAAGTTTGAAAATTAATTATTCTTATTGTTGCACCCTTAAAGGAGAACCCCCCCCCCCTCAGGAAGCGTATCAGGGAGTAGAAGGGAGATATAACTGACGCGGTTCGCCCTACCATATGATTATACATGCTTTGCAGACGGTCATTCATTTGAATAAGATTAAGAAATATTTGTCTGATGTACAATTACCGCGTATACAATAACCTATTCTGAATATTTCATATACAAATGGAGTACTCGTCTGCAAAGCACGTTTAATCATATGGTAGGGCGAACCGCGTCAGTTATATCTCCCTTCTATTCCTTACTCCCTGAAGCCTATGCATTTGGGCTTAAATATATAGTCTTTAGCCTGGGAGGTGTCTGCACTCAAAACTTCGTTGACAGTCTCTTTATATGCATCCTATAGTATGGAGTAAGCTATGTGAATTCCCCCAAACATAAAGTCAATTATTTGAATATTTATGTATCTATAATATTGTATATTGTATACTGCACTACTGCATTTAATGCCAAAGAATTTGCAGTCTTGGCACGTTTTCTTATTCAAAACTTTAACTTATCAACCAATATGATAATAACATAATTTATCATTTGGAAAGTTTTATCTGAGCCCGTTCTTACCTTAATAATGTAAGAACAGTCCAGGGGCGTACGAGGGCTTTTGTTTTGAAAAAGTACTGATACCTTTTTATTTGTTTTTATTTCTCTCCTTGTATTAACAGTGAATTCAGACAAATCCTTAGTCTTTGTCATTGTCAGGTGTTACTTTTAAAACGAAGTTTCCTTTTAATTTTGTATTTTCCAGGGGGCACTGCCCCGCCTGGAACTCCCAGGGGGGGCACTTTGCCTGGCCTGAGGAAGGGAAATGCAAGCAGATGTAATATTAAAAGAGCCTCCCTCATGGGTGCCCCCTCTCAGCCTCTCAGGGGGGGCACACATAGAGGGGGGCGCGGCCCCCCCCTCGTACGCCCCTGGAACAGTCGTCATGTTGTTGCCGTACTTTGGGGGACGAATTTTTTGGCCGCCAGATGTCTCACACTAAATTCTTATCTGAAAGATAGATAATTCGTACGACCACAATAGTGAACCGTGATGTGGTCGACCACTGTAATGTTAAAAGGAATAACCTCCGAGCCGGGAACTCTTGTATTGTGAATATACAGAGCAGTGATCCGCTTGATCTCGATCTGTTGTTAATTTGAAGATTAATTCAATGATTTTTTTTATATCCCCCATGGTAATCGTACCTTGTTATGGGTTGAAGGGAGGATCAGGGTATAGGAATAACTAAAATGAAGATATTAAAAGTGCAGTACACTCAGGCTAATATCACCGACAGGTAGCCAAGGCAATAAGGCAAGGAAAGTTAATTGCTGTTGCGTATTCTCTGCGAACATATTGAAACCAGTTCTCTCTGGGCGGTATTTGTGAACAAGAATAAATGCATCATTGTTACTCTAGTTTCCGAGGGGGATAAAATCATTAATTTTTGAATATTTTGATGATTCACATAATAGTTTCCGAGGGGGATAAAATCATTAATTTTTGAATATTTTGATAATTCACATAATAGTTTCCTATGACTAGAATATTTCATTGATTATTTATGTGAAAGATGTATACCATGTCAGGCTGTGACATCCGTCTTGTGTCCAGCCCCCAGAGCCGGAAATTTAAAAGAGTATCGTTGAACGAGGCTCCCGAGATACTTTTTGGGGTCTAAACATTTGCGCAAATTTTAATTTAAGAAATCAGAAAACAAAAAAAGAATGTAAAGAAACCACGTTAAATAATGTTTCTTAACAAGAATATTGTTATCTACAAAACTGCCTGACCCCAATTATGAAACCGGGTTCCGATACTGGGTTTCATTACGATACCCAGTCTTAAGTTTCGGGTTCTGGGAGTACCCGACACAAAACTTTCCAGCTCTGGTTGAAAATATCAAAATTTAACCTGAGAAGTTGTAACGCCATGACATATTCAATTAATATTATTTAAACAATTGTAAAACTGCAGATACCATTTATCTAGAATCTGGAATCAGAAATTCTATTACAGAATTAATAGTCAGGAAAATCAAAGGTTTACGACATTTGATTGCAAAGATCAAGGGAATAGAAAATTAGAGTTTGGGGCAAGTACTCACTTTCTTTCACGGATTTTTTTTCGATAAATTTCGTACATTAGAATCTAGAATCTGAAACCAGAAAATCTAGTATGTTTTAATGATTCAACGTTTGAGACGTTTCAAGACGGATATTTTTGGTACAGATATTTCTTTTTTACATTTGAGATTACCCGAAGCCAAATAAATCTGTTTATTTTTTTTATTACATTCTTTTTTTTTAAACGCAAGTAGCCAGTTTCAAATGCAAGGTTTTTGAAAGTATAATTAAAAAATAACAGTAAAGAGAGCATTTTAAAATATTCTCGTTTTGTCCAGAGTACAAATGGGCTCGAATGTGAAGGTTTAGTCACTTGATCAGCGATTTTATGAATTTTACATAGATTTAATATTTGGAAGAAAATCCTGAGTCTGTAATATCCTAGCCAGGTTCCGGATGACAGACAGTAGTAATGATATGTACCTACCCTGCCAAGCCTTTTTACTTCTTCCAGATTCTAGATCAAATACAATATTATTTTATCTAGACTTTCTGGTTCCAGACTGTTCTAGATGAATTACTGTAATATTTTATCTAGATTTTCTGGTTTCAGATTCTAGATGAAATACAATAATATATCATCTAAATTTTCTGGTTCCAGAATCTAGATAAATTTCAAAAATATTTTATCTAGATTTTCTGGTTCCAGAATCTAGATGAAATACAATAATATCTAGATTTTCTGGTTCTAGATTCTTCTAGATGAATTACTGTGATATTTTGTCTTGAAGTTCTGGTTCCAGATTCTTGTTGAAATGCAGAAAATCTAGATTTTCTGGTTCCATATTCTAGAAAAAATACAATCATAGATAGATTTTCTGGTTTTAGATTCTAGATAAAATATAGTAATATGTTACTTAGATTTTCTGGTTCCAGAATCTAGA